TTTTTGACCTATGGTCATGGAATGCAATAAACTAAACTGCATCGTTAAGTTTTTGTCCAAGCCGCCATGGAACCCCTTGAAAATTTAATTTCAATGTACACATCAAAATGAAAACAGAGCAGAAGCCATTTTCAAGATGTCTAATCACTAGCAAAAAGTAAATGCTCCTCAAAAGCAGATTTACAATTGTTATAACATGAGGTTCAAGCAGATCACTTCTTAGACATCTACTTAAAATCAATCCAAAATCTCAGCAATGGCAAGAAAAACAACAGATAAAAAGAACCTAACAAAAAAAAACAAACAAAAAAGGCCTCTAACAAAACATCTAAAAAACCCGAACAGTCAACACAAAACAAAATCAAATAGGCCTACCTGTAATACGAAAATGTTACAACAATATGTATTGTTACAGTATGGCACTAATAGTATTTCTCAACATGGCAAAAATTTCTTGACAGGTGCGTAGAGACTGATCTGAAAGAGGCAAGCCTTATACAACGCCAAACTGGACATTAAAAAACCCAGTAAAAGTATCACTGGCCTTAAAATATTATTAGGAATGAATATTTCATATCTTAGAAGAATCAATAATTTGGACTCCATTTATATATAATTTCATCTTTCAAAACTTCCTTGCAAAGGTAGGTTCAAAACAAAACATTCAGCAGCAACTACCCTAAAAAGAACACAAAAATTAAACTAACTCACACACTGATGAAATCTGTTAGTCAGTGTGGACCCCCAGAGGATGACAGTAGTATGTTCTACCTTCAAACTTCAGGAAGACAGTTCATAGCCTTGCTTTCAAGTAGTCCCTTGCTGAAACACAACTAGAATCCCACATGAGTTTTTTTTCTCTCGGGAAGAAGGCTTTCTGAAATTATCCTAGATGAAGTCTGCTAACTTGACAATGACACAAGGCACAACCTCACAGAAGACCAATATTTTTTGAAAAAGGCGTGGAACAGTGAAAAAAAAGTGTTACGACCACAATTTTTGGGCGTGTGGAGTTATCAGTATCATCTTAAAGCTGATTTATTTGCCTTGCTTCCAATGAAATAAATATCTGTTTATCTTGAATAGAACCCAAGATATCTGCCTTTGAAGGAAATGAGGTCGCCTACTTTTAGTGGTGAAACTAGAGAGAAAATGGCCGCAAAAGTTTGGTAACTCTTATAGCTAAAGAGTCTTTGAAAACTGGAAAATGACATATTTTGTGCCTTTAATCAATGTTTTTCAATTAAATCCATATGGAAATGTGTTTTAATGGACATAAAAGAGGTTACGCCCAAAAAATAAACATTCAATAAAAAGTCCCAAACTTGCGGGAAATTAATGCCAGTTTCTCCGATTTCGTTATTTTGACGAGCGCCTGATTTCATCACGCCGACTAACAAACGTGAAAAAATGATCCATAAGATGGATAACTTGGTTGTTATGAGTTATATCAGCCCCCAATGCACATAACCAAAGGAATGTAACACTGGCCCATGGACAGCCTAAAGTATTTGAGTAACCAAAAAAACCCCAAGTCATATATCTTGTGTTTGACTTTAATAATGGGAGAGTGAAAAGCAAAAGAGTTGATGGTCCAATAGTCCATAAATATATACCCAATCACAGTAGTCAGTAGAATTTCAAACCATCGTCTTTGATTTTTACACCAAAACCTAGCACTGAACTTCTCAAACAATAGGCTGATGCACAAGATGAAAAAAAAACCAGTTGCAAACTCATTTTGGAATGTAATATAAATCATAAAGAGGGGCACAGCCACAGATTAAATGGAGTACTCACCAAAAATATAGCGAAGACCCAAAACATATTTGTATACTGATGCACAACCATTAGGGTGGTAAAATATCCCCCCAAAAAACATGTCAAAAGATGAAGAAAGGACACATGGACACAGAATGAATCTAGCAGCAAAGTGGTGGAGTATGGCACCTGGTATAACTTGTTAAAAATGTTATATTATACTGATACAAAACCAATAGACATAATCAGGCCCTGGTGAGTTATGCCTTATATCCTAAAAAAACAGTAGAGTCTAGTTCTGTCCTGTGCTGTATTAGCATACAAAGCATATCCATTTTTGTTAAATACTCGCATATATGAAAATCACTGATTTATGACAGCTTTTAAGACAACAAGAGAGACATAACCAGAAAAATTAACGAATTCTGTGTACACGGTGGGCCTTAGACGCTGAGCAAATTTTGAACAAGGGAGGTGCATAGCTAGCAGAAAAATCTCTAGCACAAAGCAGGCATAAATCTCTAGCACAAAGCAGGCGTAATTCATCAGCAGGGAACAGGTATTTATCATAAAATTGTACATTTCTTAACAAAATACTATGACCAAATGTATAAATTTGAACCCCAACAGTACTGTTGGAAACAACACAGACTTTTGAATGTATGGCTAATGAAATCAGAACAGATTTGATTTAAAAAATAAAGTTGTTGATAAATTAGTCTTTTGTCATGTCATTGAAAATAAAACAAATCTTCGAAAGTAGCAGCATCATAAACATTGGTGAAGGGAGAAAGACAATTTGGTAAAGGAATGTCAAAAGTGACAATGGAATAAGGAGATTCCTCATTTTAAAAAATACAAAACATTTGTTCCAGCAGATTGCATAGTTATTTCCTTTGTTCATAGTATAGTATAAATACATGTTCACTGTGCTATAGTGAGAGATTCATACACAAGATAGAATTACCAGCAGGGAGAGTGATATGTGGAGGCGACCTTAAATGTATTTAGACAAACAAAACACAACGGCACGGGGTCACAAGTTTGATCATGAATAAAATGCACTGTTACATAACAAGAAGCAAAAGAACATCAAAAATGATAAAAACAATATAACTTTAAAACTCGAATAGAATAGAATTGGATACATGCACATTTACATTTGGTTTTTCTTTGTAAAAAAAGAGTCATATAGTTCTCTTTGTTACTCTTAATAACATTTTGATTTGAACAGAAAAAAAGCTTTACCATATTAAAACTAATAAAACAGTTTAACTGATGTATGCACTCCGAACACTTGTCTCACATGTAGAAGGAAATTAATTTTTTGGTAGAAAGTATAATTTAACTTTGCACAAATAAAAAGAGCACCAAACACAAAGAAAACAAGTCTATTTATATAAAACTGTGCACTTTGAACATTGTCACCTTGATATAGCCATTGATCTACATTTTTGACTCAAAACAAAAACAGCAAAATCTATGCAGTGGAAAAATAAAGGTCATACGAGTAATCTGTTTAAAGAGTAACGAAGGAGATTAAGAGTGGTTCTTTCGACTGCAACAATTTTTATCCAAAGGACTATATCCAAAAGTAGTTTTAGTTTTAGTAAGAGTTTTACGGCACTTGCAACACAATAAGTTCACATAAGTGCTGAATATTAGAGGTGTTACAAGAGAGCAACTAGCATAAAAAAGGAGGAGACATCAGGACGATAGATGTTTGATAAGACAGGAGCAAACCACACCACAGCATCCGCCAACCACCCACTTCCACCCAAAAGTAGATGTTGGCATTCTTTTTCTTTACAGTGAGAGAATACATGACATGCCTGAAAGGGATAACAACTTGAATATTCATAAGTCATGTGTGTGGTATACACACTGGAGAAACACTCATGTCCCAATGCAGAAGAAACAGGCATTCGTCAATTTTTGGGTATTATTTGGAGTTATTGGTATAATCTTTTCGCTTGTTTATTTTGTCTTGTTTTTAAGGAACAAAATACCAATCTATTTTGAATTTAAAAAATCCAGATAATTGTGATTCAAGGGTATTTGGGTCGCTTTGTTGAGGTAAAATTACGTGAAGTGAGAAAATGGCAGTCAAAGTTCAGTGACTTCTAAAGCTGAAGTGTCCTTGGAAACTGCAAATTTAGATTTTATGTGCTTTTGATCATGGTTTTTGTTTTTTTAAAATAAAGTAAAACCCAAACAGACATTTAACTTCAAATGAATAAAAAGGTGATCAGCCAAGTAAAAAAATTTAATAAAAATTGCCCAAAAGGTCCTTTGATTTAATTATTTTGACAGACGCCTCATTCCACAAAGTTGCAACATATTTTTTTCAGGGTAGCTTGTTGCCATTATCAATGTGTTGAACACTGAAACAAAGACAAGTGTGGACAAAGTAAGAGAGAGAGGTTAACATATAGGGAGGCAAAAGGAACAAAATGTTAGCGAAGGAATGGTCACAGTAACAAAACATTACGCAAATAAGCCAATCTCTTTAGTAGAGGTTTTTTTCGGCGCTCGCAACTGCATAAGGTCATATAAGCGCCAGAAGATTAGAAGTGTTACAATAGAGTAACAAACATAAAAAAGAAGAAGGGGGGATAAAGACGATAGATGTTCGATAGGAAAGAACAAGCAAACCACATGAGAGCACCCGCAAACTACCCACAAACTAATCTCTGATAACAAAAACATCAACAGAAACAACATATATAGGTCTTTTGTACTATTTCTGTATGAAACTTTAAAAAAATCCTTATTCTGATATGGCAAGCGTTGCAAAAGTAACTGGAAGACAACTACACATATATATTATATATATAAATATTACATATATATTATTATATATGGGTCATGGATATCATATCACTGGGAAGCAAATACAGCAACTACTTCTAGCAAACAATAGGCTTTTAAACATTAAATTGCATATGTATATATATATATATATATATATATATATATATATATATGTATATATATATATATATATATATATATATATATATATATATATATATATATACACACACACATATACATATACACATATATATAAAGAATTAGTCTGTATCAATATAATAAATCACCAGTAAATATATGAGTCATGTCTAATCTTTGTAGTTTGTCACATTAAAGATATCTAAAAAAACCCACCCTAAACCAGTTATTATCAAATACAATATAAATCATAAATGCAATCACTAACTTCAGCAGAGTAGTAAGAGTGTCCTCATACATTTCTTTGTACAAGATATACTTTATTTAACTTTAAACAGCACTTAAAATCACAACAATACTTCCGAGAAAATATATACGGTAACAAAGGTCAACACAAGCATGCATTGATAATTAAATCGAAAAATCGAAAAACTACTACTTTAGACTTTTTTTTTTTAAACATCGATGCTCAATGCTACCTAGATCTAACCACGGCAGGACAAGGAGTATTCGAATTTGAATCGCCCCCAACCTCTGCAACCAAATTTTGTTGTTAAAGCCATTTGAAAAATGAATGATCAACAAAGGCCTTTTCAATGAAAATAAATAATATTAACAAATACCTGAAGCTGCAGGAAGCTGAATACTTGAGAAAAACCAAACTATTCTTGTTTGGAGGCTTCAATTACAACATCAAAAATATTTTTTTAAAACCGTACTATATATTTCTAGTATAATCCTTTGTTCGAAGACATGTGCTGAATGCTGATGATCATTTTACAGTTCTCTGCAAAAACAATATTTCCGAAGTTTGGAGGTAAAAATTTGAGAGTCGCTCTCTGATAAAATTACAAAAATGACAAGCTTGCTCTTCATACAATTCCACTGTCCCCCCCCCCCTCCCCAAGAGCTGGTCACACTCCAATAAAGGCAGCAACCTATTGTTCAGTTGGAAAATAACACTGTACCCACAACCACACTACATTGAAAGGAAAACAAGTCCTCACTACTGCCGCCACTGGCAGGTCCTACTTCTTTACTTTCCCTCTGTTGTTTCTGTCTATTTTACTTGTTCCCAGCACTCAATGACCATTATTGCATTGCTGTGCTTCTCTTTACTCAAACAAACCTCATTCACTATTACACACCTTCTTTTAGATGATAAATAGGGGTCTAGTGAAATGACCTCAGAACACAATTTATAAAAAAAGTGGAATAAAAAAAGAGTCTTCACATGCAGCTCATATTTGCTTCAAAGCCTGAGGAAAAAAAATGAAGAACCACTAAGAGCAATCATCTTTCTTCATACATTATCATCATTTGAGCTGTGGGGGGCGCAGCACTTGGTGAGCTGAGAAAGCTACTGAAACATCAAAATGATTTTAGACACAAAATGTCCAAAAGTGACTGGAAATAATCCAAACCAGGATCATTTCATAATTTAACATCAATTACTAAATGGAATGTCAGAGTTTATTTTTACTTATCATTCTGCAACTAGAGTTTTAGAAAAATACAACTCACATGCATTTAATCATGTATTCTATAACTTGATACAAAAATACTTTCAAGTCTTTCAGACTCTGCCATTTTGCATCAGCTACCATCAATGACTGCTCCTGTCTCCTTCGCTAACTAGGTACATCAAAACAAACTCAAGCTCACAGCAGTACAATCTTGATTGGAGGAACATTTCCATCCATCCTTCAAAGTATAACATACAGGAAGGGGTTAAACACACTTTCTTATTACATGACGTTGAATTAAGTAAAAAGAATATACATTACATGTATGTCTCATTCTATTTGACACCAGTGTAAGTGAATTTTATTGGATTTAAAGCATGGCTTTAACTTAATAGGACCATTTATCAACAGTTCCTTTTCAACACATGAGGGTGTATGGCACAATCTGACCATTCAAAGACATTAACCCCGGTTATTAAATTAACTTCCTTCACTCATCACGCTTTGAGAGCCATTTTAGCATATAGGGTAAAAAACATTTGTACCAAACAAAAAGACAAATGTTCTAGTTCTGTTACAAGAGAACCCCCTCCTCCCCTTCCCCAGAAATCTTATAGAAGCATCTTTGACAAGGCTCATCCACATTGATCACATTTGATATAGCATGATGTTGAATTATAACACACATCTAAATCACTACAAAGCAGAAAAATTGAGACAGTAACCACATCTAGTAGTCTACTAACAGATCATGTGTAGGTCGAGCACAAGAACTGACGAATGCCAGTTGGTATCACAGCACATCACAAAAAGTTAATGAGGTTTCACTCCATTTTTCTGTTTGAAGCCATTTGGGTTCTTCGTCTGCCAGTTCCACAGATCTTTGCCTGGAAAACAGGAGAAAATGTTTACTTAGAATTGGACAGAAGGCTAAGGAAACAAAGCAGGGACTGTTAACAACACTGTAAAAGTGGCAGAAGATGAGGAAAGAGAAAAAATGTGAAGAGAGGTAAGATATAAACAAAAATTACTTTTGATATATAATTATTGAAGGTATTTATACGCCCCCATTGGCACATTCAGACCATTTAGGAGCTAGGCTTCTGATCCTGCCTGTCATACTCCATACAAATTTCTCTCCATTCAAGAATCAAACTCGGGTCTCCTGTGTGCGACAGTGAAGCAAGAGAGGAAGGGATTGGTAAACTAGTGAAGAGGTACAAATAACTAAATCACTGTCGCTTCTTAACCTGAAGGTCCCACATTCACAGGGTTGCTAGCTCTTCACCGCTAGTATTTTAGTGTTAGTAAGGTTTTACGGCCCTCGCAACTGCATAAGGTCATAAGAGCACAAAGGGGAGGATGTCAACAGAGAAGTCCTTACAGGGAATCAGACCTACTCTGCTCTCCTCTCTAGCTTCAGCAGCACAAAGTCTGCTTCGACTATCAAGGCACCCCGGAAATAGAGGATCACAAGAGTGTGACATACATACAAAAGAAGAAGAGGAAAATGACGATAGTAAGGATTAGGAAAGAAAAAGCAGCAGTTCCCTGTTGTAGTTCAGGCACAGTAATGAGCATGACATTGTTAGATCAGCCCATTTACAATTATACTGTGCACTAGAACGAGAAATGTCCCCCCTTTGGGAATGGTCCAAAGACACTTCAGTCAGTGGCACCACCCCGGGGGGATGGTATAGGTTTAACGCCCCTATCAACACTATTAGGTTATTTAAGAGGCGGGGCCTCCGAGTTTAACGTCCATCTCCGAAAGGACCGAGCCAAGTGGGAAATTCCTGTAAAGTGCCTTTCCCAAGGACACAGCGTTGGACCGAGCTAAGGCTCGAACCCCCCGAACCCACAATATGACGATTACGAGTCCAGTAGCCTAACCACTGGGCCACCGACGCCACAGGGTAACTGGCTCTTCAACACTAAGTGGGTAAGACAGAGAGAGGGGGCAGGAGTGAATGACTTGTGGTTCAGCTAGCAACTTGAGAGAACATGACAAGAGAGACTGAATGAGGGCACCACAATTAATTGGCCTTGAATGAGTGAAACACAAGAAACATATGAGTGACTTGCAAGTAAAGGCGGGAGAGGGAGAGGGGGAGAGGGAAAAAGAGAGAGAGAGAGAGAGAGAGAGAGAGAGAGAGAGAGAGAGAGAGAGAGAAAGAGAAAGAGAGAAAGAGAAAGAGAGAAAGAGAAAGAGACAGAGAGAGAGAGAGAGAAAGAGAGAGAGAGAGAGAGAGAGAGAGAGAAAGAGAGAGAGAGAGAGAGAGAGAGAGAGAGAAAGAGAGAGAGAGAGAAAGAGAGAGAGAGAGAGAGACAGCGACAGAGAGCAAAAGAGAGAGAGACAGAGAGCGAAAGAATCAGTTCACATACACATATCATCCAGCGAACGCTCAGCCTTCCAGTTGAGTTCTCTGTGGGCCTTACTGGGGTCTGCACACATGGCAGCTACATCTCCACCCCGCCGAGGCACAATCCTATAGTTGATCTGAGGACAAGCACAATTCGTTTTAGCAAGAGTTGTATGGCACTTGCAACACAAAAAGGTCACATAAGTGCCGAAGATTAGAGGTGTTACAAGAGAGTAACATACACAAGAAAGATCAGAGGTGTTACAAGAGAGTAACATACACAAGAAAGATTAGAGGTGTTACAAGAGAGTAACATACACAAGAAAGATTAGAGGTGTTACAAGAGAGTAACATACACAAGAAAGATTAGAGGTGTTACAAGAGAGTAACATACACAAGAAAGATTAGAGGTGTTACAAGAGAGTAACATACACAAGAAAGATTAGAGGTGTTACAAGAGAGTAACATACACAAGAAAGGAGGAGGAGAGAAAGAACAATTGATGTTTAATAGGAACGAAGGAGCGAACCACACCAGAGCACCCACAAAAAAACACAGTACTTTGAGTAAAAAGAACCCCATCAACATAACAACGGCCCGTTAGTTTTTGGTAAAAAGCAAGATTGATTTCATTATATTAAAAACAGGTTTCCGTCATCCAGTTTTATATTTTTCTTAAAGCATAATAATTACTATCAAGTTGACACACTTTCAATGTAACTTACAAATACCTAGTACGAAACCAGGGTGGCCATCTTGGACAACTTCTATTGTATATATATATGTGTCATGACGCGGTGGAATCAGGCGCTCGTCAATTTAGGGAAATACGGATTTATTGGCATCATCTTAAAAATTTGTCTCTTGGCACTTAGGCGGTTGAATCACGCGGCTAGCGATATGCAATCAGGGATAATTTTTTTTTTAACCAAAGACTGAAATACAATGTAGTTTTTAAGGGAGATGACAAATTTTGATTTAATGCAAAATAATCTCACTTAAATGGGAGGTAATAATAGATTTTTACATTCCACTTGCATTATGCTTCAGTCCCCTGACAGCCAATCTGATATTTTTCCTTGCACAACATTGACATCTTCATTTGCTGAACAGTATCGACATTTTTCACAGAACAGATAGATATATAAATATGCACAGCTCATGAAGTGATAAGAAACTTAACCCTTCCAGCCCCAGCCATTTTTCTGCACTCCCTAACCTCAGTCCCAGGTTAATACAGCAGGCAGCATACCCCAGTCCCAGCTAGTACAGCAGTATTTTAGAAAAAAGACATATATATTCATTCTGAAAAGTCATAAATGAGGCATTGTGGTGAAATCAGGCACTAGTCAAAATAATGAAATCGAAGAAATTGGCATTTTTCGACCAGTTTGGAATTTTTATTCTCGAATTTTTGTTTTTTTGTCTCAACATCTTGTATGTCCGTTCAAAAACACATTTAGATATCTATGTGTGGATTTCATCGAATAATGATTAAAAGCAAAAAAAAAAAAAGAAGTAAATTTGCAGTTTCCAAGGACTCTTGAGTTATGGAAGTCACCAAACTTTGGAAGCCATTTTCTTGCTAACTTTATTTCTGAAACCAGGCAACCCCACTTTCTTCAATCGCAAATATCTCAACTTCTGTTCAAGGTAAGTGGATTTTTTTTAATCGAAAGCAAAGCAATTGAACAATCTTTACGACTATACCAATAGCTCCGTATGCCCAAAAATTGACCAGCGCCTCGTGACACATATAGTGTCTTTGTTATGAGTTCTAAATAAAAACATATAACAATCTTCAAAGGTAAATGAACAATTAAATTTAATTTAATTAGGTTTGCTGCCGTTAGGAAAAATGCACAAATTCGGTAACACCCCCCCCGAAACTGAAAATATACCCTCCTGGGACAGGCAGTGGCTTGAGCATTTGTGCTGAGAATATATGCTCTTGGGACGGCGGGAAGTGTAAAGGCTGCTGAAAATATACGCGCATGATGAGGCTGGAAGGGTTAACAAAATGATAAAACATTTCTTTTTCTAGTCACAGAAACTATGGACAAAGTAGGGAAGATGTAACCAAACGTTTTCCACAACCAAATGTTTTTAACTTAACTTGAACATCATCTCGGTTATATTTTCCCCCCCTACAAAGCAAAAAATACACAGCCACAGGGCCCTTCAGACTGCTGGGGATCCTTCAAGTTATCAGTCTCAGCAGCATTCCGAGGACTAACAGTGGAGAAATAATTGTCACTGTTCTGCAAAGAAACCAGTAGAAGCATACAAGATTTTTAACTAAACAATGCTCCTCCGATACATCCACGAAACCAGACAACAACTGTCGCACAATAAACAGAAATCGAAAGCAGAAAAGATTTCATGAAAATTCTGAAAATACAGGAATGAAAACGAAATTATTTCTTATAAGCCAATTCCTTATAAATCAACCAACATACCTTTTTACTGCACGCCTTCTCAAACGCTTGGACCACTTGTAGAACAGAAGACCCTGTGCCAGTGCCCAAGTTGTACACCTAAAGGGAGGGGGGAAAGAAAGGAGAGGGAGAGGTGGATGGGGAGTGGTAAGAGTCATTATTTTGAGTGGAGAATAATGAGCCACTGCACAAAGATAAAGGAAATTTAAAGAACAAAACATTTACCTGAGCGGGAAACCTAAAAGAAAACTTGGGGATATGAGTATGAGCACCAGTTCTGGATAAAGACCCTTACATATCCATCGAAACTTCAGAGAAGCACTGGATGTCTATGTCAACAGAGCAGGCTGAGAAAAAGGACATGTTGGGCTCCCACATCTCGTCAGTTTATACAGATCATTAAAAGGAAATTGCTGGGTACTACTTAAGGGTAGTCAAACCACAGTGACTACCACGAGGAGACCTTTGAACATCTTCTCCTTCACAGCCCAAACCTGGCAATTCTTCGACGCAGGCTGCCACACACACCTACAGACTTACAAAGCCTTCTCTACTCTGGCGTTGACCAGATGACAAGGACATGTAGTTACTTGAGGGAGGCATTGCGCAGCCAAGAGCGAAATGCTCGCTGCTAAAGGGATTTGAAAACAACAACAACATCATGGGTAGTCAATCCCTGCATGTAAAGCTCTGCTGACCGTGAATTCATTTTTACTGCATTTAACACTCCTCGCAGCAACAAGTTTCTAAAAACAAAGAGAACAGTTGTCATTTCCTATAACGTACATTGAAGCCTGTGGTTTCATTCAGCTTGTTTATGGCAGCAATGTGGCCCTTTGCCAAGTCTGTGATGTGGATGTAGTCTCGCACCCCTGAAGGAAAAAGAAACAAATAATTAAAGTGACATTAGCACTTCTGGGATTCCCAAGGCATGGGAGTCCTCACGCATGAGTATAAATTTTAATACAGTCAAACCTGCCCTAATGACCACCTGTCCAAGACAATCAACTCAGCAAACGACAACTTTCCACTTCCCTCTTGAGTTTTTTTCCTTAGAATCATAATGACACTGCCCTAGATGACCACCTGTCTAAGATGACCATTTTTCTCTTCAACAATGGGTGGCCTTTTTGGAAAAATTTGACTCTAATTTAAAATATGTTTGCTTGCAATACAAACAGGAGCCAGCATGAAAGAAAGACTTGAAGAAGTAACTGAAATGATAGTAAATAGGGAAAATTTCAACTTTATTGAAATAGATAAAAAGTAAAATATTTCCCAAGATTCCAGAAATTTTGGAAAAAACTAAAACTCCTGGCAGTAGTGCAGTTCATAAAAACAAAAATGCAAACAATGATGACACATTAACAATAGCAACACACATGAAAATATATTTCATACTAAACTATAGCAGGATGATCATGCTTTTTTTAAAAAGCAAAATAACAAAAACAACAAGCACCACAAATTATGTCACAACAAATAAAAACAAAGAGCCATTTCCAAATGAACAACTTTAAGAAATTCGACAAGACTCACAAGCCATCAGTTGTTTTATTTTTAATAAGTTTTTATGGCACTCTTTACTCTGCTCACCTCTCTAGCCTCAATAGCACAAAGTCTGCTTCAACTATCAAGGCACCCTGGAAATAGCAGTTCACAAGAGAGAGCGCATCTTTTGTACAAGAAACTTTTACCTGTGCCATCAATTGTATCATAGTCATTGCCGTAGACCATCAGTTCCGGCCGCTTCCCAATAGCCACCTGTGAGACGAACGGCGTGAGGTTGTTGGGCACTCCCTGGGGGTCCTCACCGATCATGCCAGAGCTGTGGGCTCCGACAGGGTTGAAGTACCGCAGTATGACAACACTCCACTCCTTAAAGGAAAGACAGGCACAGGACACTATAATATAATCTGTCATTCAGTACATGGAATAAAGCAAGCAAGATAAACAAACAGAGAACAAAAGAGGGAAAGAAAGAAGTAGGAAATACACCCCACTCCCTGCAATTAGAGACAAGACAAAATACATGTATAAAAGGCGACATGAACAAGTATGCACAGCACATAAATACACAAAAAAATATTATCTACCAGCACATAAATAGGGGTTTGTAAACATAATTTGAAAAAAAACAAAAAAACAACACCATCCAAGACAAAGCAGGAATTTTTGCAAACAACTTTGCCATGTACATTGTATGAGTAGATGAAAATACATAGCCAATTAATATCTAGAAGGCTACCAATGCAAATAAATTTACAGACAGGCATTTTGATACTTCTTAGACTGGCAAAGAAAATGAGACTTAATGAGTGAAATTCGTTTAAAATCATGTTTAAGTTAAATTTTAAAAACAAGTTTGTTTTAAACAAACCTTTCAAAACATGTAATGAAGGATGAACAAAATTGTTGATACCATTCTAAACTTTACAAAAACTGCGCTGAGAACAATAGTCCCTTTGAAATAGTATACCAGTTTGTCTTTTCCCATTCAGACAAATTTAGGAGGCAATGTTTCCACTGCGCATAAATCACGGCATGGGGAAATGTTGTGAATCAACTTACTGTGCCAAAGACCAAAATTCAAGCTAATTCAGAGGAAAAATTGGTCCCCAAAACATTTTTAAAATGACCGTAGGACCCTCATCCCGATCTTCACTCACAGGTTTGATGCGGCAAATGTCCGAGAGTATCTCTTCTACAAACTGCTTGGACTTGGCGTAGGGGGAGGTGCAGTTCCCAACAGGGTGAGCTTCGTCCATCGGAAGGTACTTCGGATCCCCATACACCGTTGCTGAGCTGGAGAAGATGATTCGAGTCACGTTGGACTCTGTCATCGCCTAGAAAGTATCAATAATATTTTAATATTCAAATAATCAAGGGACTCATAACCAATTTTGTTGGTAGGTTCTTTTTAAGTCTCCATAGACACAATTTAGATAATTTACGTGCCAGGCTCCCAACCACTTCCTGTAAGAGCTAACCTGGGCAGAGAGGGATACAGTGGAAACCATATATAACAGGCCCGGTAATAACAGGGATTTGGATTTTTTAAAATCCCCATTTTTTTCCTACTCTTTGTCTCTTTTAAAAGTTATCGGCAATAACAGGACCTCATCGGAGCCCAATCGGTTATAGCAGGGACAAAGGCTAGTTAACAATGAGTAAAAAGTAAGAGAGAGAGAAAGAGAGAGACAGAGAGAGAGAGAGAGAGAGAGTAATGCAGTGATGGAGCAAGCCCACGCAAGCCATGCCACTGCAAGCACACGCAGCGTGTGAAGCGAGAGAGGGCTGCGGTGAGCTGCAGACCTCGATCTCGCCCGAAACCTAGCAACACGCACGCATAATGTGTCACCAACGATGTCAAGCGCTAGAGAAAATGCCTTTCAATTGACAAAAATACGAAAAAATCCAGGCTGTTTACAAAAAACAAGCTCCCCTGGCAGAGATTTGTCGTCAGTTCGATTCACACCATTATCAAGGATAGAGAGAAGATAGTGGCAGCATACTCCAATGAAAAGTTTGCTCTGGATCGAAAGAAGATGAGACTACCTGATGCAGATGCCGTGGACCAAGCTCTTCTGATGTGGTTTAAGGAGGCAAGGAGAAAATTGGTGCCAAAACCCCTGTTCGTGGGTACTTGTGGCAAGGGAAACTACCCATGAATAAGTACAGCTGGATAAGTCCACAAATGCTTACTTTCCTTTGCATTTCTGATTTAACAGGGATTGGATATAACAGGACATTTTCTCTACTCCCACCATCCCTGTTATATCAGGTTTCCACTGTATAACATTCCAGCAGAAAGACCGAGATACTGAAGAAAAAAATTCTCTCCACTCATGAATCAAAGTGCGGTCTCCTGCGTACGACAGTGAAGCACCTAACCATTACAATATAAGACACCATTCACCAATTTTTGATGGTTATGAAATTCACAGGGCTCTTAAGTTTGATAGGCTATTGAATCCTACTAAGGTACCTTAAAGTAGATTTTAAAAATAAAAATCAGAGTTACCAGTAAAGGCAAGTAAGGCATAATTTTATTGTTTGTATCATGATGATGCACAATGGCCAGCTGACATAACTAAAACAAACAACTACAATATTTAGAGAATACAAGTACTTAGCTCGACAGTCCAGGACCTCTATGAGCTACAATCACTTTATTGGCTGGGTGGGATGCAAAATTCCGACAAACGTCAAATTGCTCAATGGCATTTGTTAGAGTTAAGCATCCAGCCATCGACTTATAAATAAGGTAATTCCAACATTTAGAGAGGAATCTTTTTTAAATGGAAGGAGTATATCCTCCAATAAGTATTTCAACAGCCATCTCACAAACAAAACAATGAAAAATATTCAGTAAAGGTTACAATAAAATAAAAATACTTAGATCTAAACCCATCAATTCCAAAGTAAATTGAGGGAGACAGGCACGGCAAAGAACATACCTCAACAAGGTTGATGGTCCCCATCAGGTTGACCCTGTAGTACATCACAGGCTTCTCCACAGACTCCCCAACAGCTTTTAACGCAGCAAAATGGATGACCACAGAGATATCTGGGTGCTGGGGACAGTCAAAAACACACAAATGATTTTTAGTAAGTTTAGTAAGAGTTTTACGGCGCTCTCAACTACTTAATGTCATATGAGCACTCACCAATGATGTTTCAGACCAAAATATGTTAGTTACAAGAATTGAACTTTATACGAATCAGAAGTAGTATACCTTTTAAGCTACAATGCGTCTTTCACTGGAACATACTATAACGGCTACATTTCAACAGGAAGCCTACCTATACAATGCTAAGATAAAAAATAAAAAAAAGGGATCACTGGCATCTGTGGTGTGGCCGTTGGGTTCATTACAAAAGACACAAGTTTGATTTTCGATTAAGTTTTTTATCAGGAGCTTCTGTCTGTTGGTAAAAACGTTGTATCCCACTCAGCCTGAATGGGCCCTGACAAACACCGTCAAAGCAACTCAACTCCTAAATTATCAAAATAGTATCAATGGGGGTATAAAGTAAATACAATCGATAATACACTTTTAAAAGCAAGATCTAGAAAATACCCCAAAATAATACTGAGACATCAAAGTTCTAAAACAGGGCAAAAGCTATTACTGGGAAAGAGGAAAAAAAACACCTTTGACATGAGCAAGAGAATTCCAGAAGTTTCTTGAAAAAGGGCATCTCTGTCTAAAGTTCTAAAGTGTCTGCACAGTGATTCGCAATCTTTACATAAAAGCATTCAAGTTTCAATACAGAGAAGCATATCAAAACAATGTTAGTCCTTTAGAAAAGGGAAAAGTTAAGAGAAAAAGACAGAAAATAGCAGCGAGAAAGAAACGAAACAAGATCTACGAGCAGCATCCTCCAACCACCAGCAATTTTAAAGGAAAACAAGCCACAAAGAACACAATCTACATTAGACAAAAATTATCTGTCTCGGGTATTTATGAAGTGCATAACTCACCTTTTTAAAAACATCCACAACATCTGCTTTGTTAAGTAGATCAACTTCATGGAATGGAATAGACTTCCCCACGATCTTCTCAATCCGCTGTATACTCTCTGTACAGTTCCATTTGGTATATAGGAGAGAAAAACAATAAACTTCAATCTAAGAACTACGATCTTCTCAATCAGCTGTATGCTCTCTGTACCATTTCATCAGGTACATAAAGAGAAAATAATTAACTTCAATCTCTGTACACTGAACTCTAACAGTTAAAAATCTGACTTTCGTTTTTAGTTTTTGTAAGAGTTTTACGGCACTTACAACACAACCAGGTCATGTAAGTGCTGAAGAATAGATGCGTTACAAGAGAGTAACATACACAAAAAAGGGGGAGAGATTTAAGACGACAGATGTTTCATAGGAAAGAAGGAGCAAACCACACCAGAGCACCCGCCAACCACCCACAATCTGACTTTCGTGACCAGAGGGAAAAGAAGAGTAAAGAAATGAAATGTAAAAATGAAGCAATCTAAAACAGGACAAATGGCAAAGACAACACATTGCAAAGATGACATGATGTAAATGACAACTCTTTGAGTGCAAAGAAAGCCATACATTATTGAGAAAAAAAGTGGTTGTCTTAGACAGGTGGACGTTTTGGACACTGTCATGGAAACACAGAGAAGAAGCGGGAAGTGGTCATTTGTACAGGTGATTGTTTTTGGAAAAGAAGCTGTTAGAGTAGGTAAAACTGTTTCTTCCACCTAGTAACTACCCATTTTCAATCCCTTTAAAATTTTTTTTTTTTTTTTTTTTTTTTTTACAAATTACATCAACATTGTGTGGTGAAAAGGCTCTTTTGCCCATTATAGTTGAGTTCACTTTTCATACCCAGTAGATAAGATATCTGCCTTCTTGTCAGAATGGACTATTCCATAGAGCCTCCATTGAGAGGTTGAAGAAGCCCAGCACCTCTCCTCAACAACCTCACTTATATCAAAGGAGCTAGTTATTAAATACTTTTTTTTCAAAAAGGATATTTATGCACCCATTGACACAATTTAAATCACAGAGGAAGCGGGCTTCAAACCAACCGGGCTGAGAGGAATATATATCATCTCAGCAGAAAGGCAGAGACACTCAATAAAAAATTTCCACACGCAAGAATCAGTCTCAGGTCTTTGGCATGCAATCACAAAGCATCTAACCTCTACTACACAACAAATCCATCAACAGTTGAGTAAGACTGACCGGGGCTTCCATTAGAGCAGTTGTCCAGCACCACCACATTGTAGCCATCCTCAAGCAGAGTAATCACTGTGTGACTGCCCACGTAGCCTGCACCTCCTGTCACCAGTACAGTTCCTGTAGTCATCTCGGAGGCCATGATGCTGATGATAGTAGTTACTCACTGTATGAAACCTCTGGAAACAAAAGTATATATAGCTTCAATTCAGTTGAGTGAGCTGGACCATTGAACACAACATATATACGTAGAGATTAACAATAAGAAGATAAGAATATTATCCAAGACCACAATTCATTATTGAGGAGAAAAGTGGTCATCTTAGACAGGTGTTTCTCATGGACAGTGTTCTTTTAATATTCGAACAAAATGCAGGGGGGGGGGGGGAGAGATAAGATTAGGTTTGTGGTGGTCATTTGATGAGCAAGTTCAACTGTAGTATAATATAGTAGAGATACCAACATTTCAAATACCCTTTGGGTACTGACACTGGTGATAACTGGAAGTCCCATCAATCTCTTTTATGGGTATCAGGCTACAGATTAGGCTGGGTATTTGTAGCCAACTCTTGCTCAACTCAGCTTTTTAAAAAGTAAAATAATTTTTCAATAAGATGATGAAGAGAAATTAACATAGGTGAAACACTGCAGCAAAAGAAGAAAATTATATGTCACAAACAGCACATGCTCCACACTTAATGGTCCAATATGTTGTTGACAATTGGCCTTTTCTCTTGTGTAACACAAACACTATACATTATAATGTCAAAATAGGGAAAGCGTAGCATCCCTAACTCTTGTTACCTACTTCTACAAATATTGATCCTAAAATCCAAACCATCAAGCCGTCTACTTGTTTTCATGCACGTACAGCCTTTTGAACATGACTTTAAAAAACATCAATATTCACAAGATAAAAAGCAGGGCTGCTGGGTGTGTGCATCCTCAGCTGTCAACATCAAGACATCTTAGGCCTTAGCTATAAAAAGATTAAATCCATACAGGGATGGGATAAGAGAATACCTGATAGGGAGAAAGGGTGAGGGCTGGCAAGGTGAGGAGGATTGGACAAAGTCACTAGATACAAAAAGAGAACTTTGGATCATGTAGAACACATCTCTGAGACAGACAGACAGACAGACAGACAGACAGACAGAAAGCAGAGATGGGACAGATAGACAGAGAGAGAGAGAGGGAGGGGGGGGGGCAGATTGACAGATTGTCAGATAAAAAGACACACACACACACAGACTGAGGGAAAAAAGACACTATGAACTACCAGCCATAAGGCTAAAGCCAAAAGTGGATACATCATTGGGTGACATTTACAGTCTGTCAATAACTACAGAATCAGCATATATAATATATATATATATCATAAGTGATCTGATCATGGCCTGTAGTTGTAAGGTATTATATGTATAAAACTGATGGTGAGGCTAAATGATCGCATTTACTGATCTGACTTTCCAGTACGGTTTCCATAGTAACAGTTTACTCTCCCAAAGATTTCGTGGTCAGTATGACACTCGCATAAATTTCTTTTTATAACGCCTCATTACAACATTGGCACCTAAATTGCTTTTCGATTTTTAAGCAAAAAACCCCCCAAAAACAACAACACCCCCCAAACCAACAACAAAAAATAAGAACAAAATGAACAGCAACTTTCAGAGGCTCAACTTTGACCAACTGCGTGACTAAAGGAGGCAATATATGTAGAAAATTATATAATTTTTTTGCAGGACTGGGGTTGGTTATAATAGGACTTTTATGGCAGAAAAGGCGTTCTTCCTTTTTCACATAAAAATAGAATACAAAGTTGTGGCCAAATTTCAGGTTCACACATTTTTTTAGAAATCAGATGAAACATGAAGATAGAGTAATGGACCATCTCATGTAAGCAGACAGAACATTATCCATGCATTATCTACTAAGGAAAACATATATACAGTCATAGAGATTAAAACTGAATATCTAGTAGCATTTCATACGATTAAACAAGGTAGTTTTCTGTTCCAAAGGTCAGTTTTTGTACAAAAAAACCCTGCTAGTACTAGTGAAAAGTTGTTTTCCAAGCGTTGTGCTATAAAACATCACATCAAACTAACTGTAATAAACTATACACACACCTGACATGATGCAGCGTAACACAGCTTTTGGAAAACAAATTTTCACTATTTTTTTCATAATTTTTGGACAAAAACAGACCATTGGAACAATTTTCAAGAACAAAACATCTAAGAACGTGCTGTGTAAAAGTCAATTTACAGAACCATGCTATCCTCATGTAACAGAATTGTTATCCAAGCACACTTTGACTTGCTTGCTCAAAAACTCGAATGATGAGAGATAAAAACAAGACTAGACAGACTACTTTTGTGCAAACAATGTCAGCAACAAATTTAAATTAGATCAAGATTCTAGATCTACCTACCCAATATTGATCGGGTAAATTTTTACTTTCCCTCCCGCACACAGATGCACTACTTTGGGGGTCAAACTGCAGTATTGTTTACTGCACATCACACAAAGCCACCAAAACTGTCGCTCCATCAATTATTATTATTTTAAAGAAAGTTTCAAACCTCACGATAAAATATAAAATTATGGGTTAAAACATAAAACAGGGGAGAAAGCCCCTCTGTAACCCCCCAGATTCTTTTTTCTGCCCCCTGAAACCACCCGATTGGTCCAAAGCGCACAAATTACTTCGCCGCTAGTATATATGGAAAACAATATTCTCAGTGACACTACTGGGAATAGGCCCAGAAACTATTCATTTCCGTGTCACTGGGAATAGGCCCAGAAACCACTGGCAATAGGGCCTAGGGCAGAATTGTTCCCAGTGTCACTGGGAATTGACCCAGAAACTGTTCCCAGTGACACTGAGAACAGACAGGCTTCTATATTATTAGATCTACTGTTCCCACATTGATCTACATGGGCATGGTGGTGATGGGTTTCTAAATATTAGACTATCTCTAATGTAGATCTAGATTCTAGACTAGATCTTACTAAACTAAAGCAGATTCTAGTGTGAATGGAAAATTTTTTTTTTAAAGAAAAAAGAATGATCATTCTATGCTTGCTTGTTATTCAGTCGTAATTTATACGGCGTGGATAGATCTAGATCTTGATCTAGAAACGGATGGCTAGACTGACAAAAAAACAAAAAATAGGCCGCCTACTGAATTGTAAATAAATTTTTAGCTTGCAGTACCTAAAGTATACATTTTGTATTTGAAGAGACAAAACCAGGCGCCTTACTGACAGTGCATGTATTTTAAACCTCTGAATAATTACAAATGAGACCTGTTTTCTAATGTTACAACTAGGGCCTAAGATATAAGCACGGCTAGACAGGCAGGCTAGCCGTACTTTAAGCTAGACTGCTTAGCTAGAGTACGGCTAGGCTAGCCGCTCCGTACTTAAGGACGGCTAGATTATCATGCTACTTAATAATAAGGCCGGCACTATTTCTCCGAACGTTCGGGAAAATAAAGCTGGGCACTATTTCTCCGAACGTTCGGGAAAATAAAGCTAGGCACTATTTCTCCGAACGTTCGGGAAAATAAAGCTGGGCACTATTTCTCCGAACACTCTGAAATCACATCCTTTCTCGCAAATTTCGGATATTATATAGATCTATAATTATAGTATAGGCCTACCAAAGATTGTTCGTATACAATATGGTTCAATCGGTCCAAAAAATGTCCGCAGTAAATATTTATATAAAGAAATGCTACAATTCCAAACAGTTTTTCGCTACAGATATGGCGTGTTGCCTATGAAGGGTGCTGCTCTTAAACGTAATGTGTTGTGTTCACTCGTGTGCTGTCTAGATCTAGATCTAGATCTACGGAGGGTTATTGATAACGACACATAGAACTGGCATCTGCGTTTGTCACTGCTGCGACCAATGTACTGACACTGGCAAAGCCCCTTAATGTGTGTGATTCCATAATTTACATGTAATATCCTGTCCTTTTTTTTTTTTATTACGCACATTTAGGGTTAAAACAGCCCATCTTCTTCGGACAGGTGGACACACATCCTTATTTGTTAATGTTTGTTGTTGTTTATGGGCTGTTCTAATTTTGATTTCTTTCTGTTGTGAAACCTTTCTTTTTCACGTTTTTACACTCATCTAAAAATCTCTAGACTAGCTCTTGAAAATCGAAATAGATATATAGACCCAAAAATTTGCTCCTGTGTGTGTGTGTGTGTGTATGTATGTGCGTGTGTGAGTGTGTCTGTGTGTGGTAGTAAGTGGAGAGTGAGGAGTGTGTGTGTGTGTGTGTGTGTGTGTGTGTGTGTGTGTGTGTGTGTTTTCGGGCTTTATTTCAGCCTGTATTCAGTAACAGTTCAAAGTATACAAAAATAGAAACACAGGATCCATTCACTCCAGGGCTCATGAGTCGTTCGTCTCTTTCAGTTTCCCTCATTCATTCAATTCCCATGTTCTCTCCCGCGGCTCATCCCTGTCCACATGACTTTCTTCATACCCCACCCCCTCCCTCCAGGCACACACAAAGAAAATATCATTCTTTCCTTTGCACCCTGCGAACCATGGACAATAATATAGGCAAAACACTGCCTGAGCTGCATTCCTTTCTTTCGTGAGCTGTGGACCAGGCCAGGGGGTCGGTGTCGTCGTCTTGTCTTGTAGTTGCTGTCGCCTGTGGATACACTCGCACATTCTTCCTTTCACCCGCTCTTTCACTCACACTGTCTCTCCGTCCACAGCTCAGCTCGTCATACGTTCAAAAGTTGCCCACTGGTCATGTTTAGTTAGTGTGTGTACATGTGCATGATGGTGGTGGGTGTGTGGTGGGTGTTACAGAAGGTTGTCTGTAGGCGGGCTTGCCATGCGGTGTTCCTTCCCAGACCAGAGGCCAGAGGCAGAATGAAAGTTGGCGCCGAACTCTCGCAATAAATAGACAAAAAATCACGAGACCGGAAGCCGGAAACCGTTCGGAGAAATAAAGATCGGCACTATTTCTCCGAACGTTCGGAGAAATAGTCACTTCGTAATAATAATGATGGCTGAATAAAATGAAATTTTTTTTAGTTTGCAATGCCTAAAGTATTTGTATTTCAGACAAAACCAAAAAAGGTGCCTTTCTGACTTCTTGTTGCATTAAATCTGAATAAAATAATTACTAGAAATCTAGATCTAATCTAGATCTAATGAGACCTGTGTACTCAACAGGTTTGAGTCAATAGGGCCAAACCTAGATTCTAAGTCTAGACTACTATCTCTCGGAAGTTTCAGCGCCCAGACCCGGTAGAAATCTAGAGAGTGTGTGCGTGAGTGTGTGTGTGTGTGAGAGAGAGAGAGAGAGAGAGAGAGAGAGAGAGAGAGAGAGAGAGAGAGAGAAAGAGAGAGAGAGGGGGGGGGGGCAGAGAAATAGAGAGGGTGGCTGCTCGATTGAAATTATGACATTGTTCTTTACTTCAAATCGTGATTCCTCCAACTCCAAAACGGAGGAAAAAGGATCGTTCATCAAAAAGACATCCGCAATCTTCATTTAGATCTAGACTAGTCTAGATCTAGATTCTAGATCTAGGCTAGCCGCGAAACTAGATCAAAGATTTATGTCTGCCTAGATCTAGATCTAGATCATAGATCTAGAAGAACCTAGGTCTACCCTGAGCCAAGAGGGCGCTGAAACTCTCCGATATCACAAAAGAATTCCCCTACCGCGTCTGTATACTTTGTGACTTTGTTCCCGGCTCCCGGTTACCGGGTCTGTATACACTCCCATCTATTTATTAAATTATTATAAGGCCACCTCTATTCTCACCCGGAGTGAGAATAGTGCAGGCGAGTCTTGTGGCTATTCTCACCCGGTGCGCGTTCACCAAATTTTGCGTTCACCCTAAACCACAGAATTCTATACTGTGATAACAGAAAAATTGTAGAATTCTGTGCCGTGAACAAACGTTCCATTACAACTGTAGCCTACTAAAAGCTTACAATTTTGTCTGTGGGCAGTGGAGAGAGAGAGAGAAAGAGAGAGAGGAGTAGCGCGAGAATTTCCGGGCAAAACAAAATGGCGACCCGCGTAGTTCGGCTCGATTCGAAAAGTTAAATAGCCGTAGCATCTTTGTAGACAACCAAATTAATTTACTTTTGTGTTTTAACATCATTTTTTAACTTTGTTTTGGTCAATTTGATCGTCCACACCGATAGACAGTATTCAGAAAGAGACAGAGAGAGAGAGAAGAGGGGAGGAGTTGATCTTGCCGGGTGAGAATAGCCACTTTCTTATAGCCACTATTTTTTACCACCACACTCACTTTGTAGTGTTGAGTCCTGTTCACAGTTGTTGACTGCTGCAAGCAAGATCCGAGATCACTTGGAACGGTCTGCCCACTCCACACAAGATTGGAGCCGGTATGAAATGAAAAAGCCTTTTTATAAAAAAGGGGTAAATAAAACCAAATGATAATCTACCAGACGTCACTGAGTCGTGAGCAATGACCTAGCAGAGTCCTGGAAACATGTAGATCTAGATCTAGATCTATGTAGGCCTCGGCTCGGATTAATGTCAATGTCAATGAAGTCAATGTGAACTTTTTATAGAGATCTTCTCTTTTTTTTTTTTTTCTCTAGGCTAAACCTACCAAACCAATCTACGCAGGGCACTGGACACACTAGAGAGTAGGCCTAGAGAGTTCTCTTCTCTTCCTTTGGATCAAATAAAACGAGCTACTCGAGGGCGCGCTTCGACTTTTATTATTATTATTCGTTTGCAACAATGTATTGATTGTTAAGAAAAAAAAGTTTGATTTGTGAATAACTAGGCCTATAAAAATTTTTTTTACTTGAAGGACACCTCTCTAGATCTAGTTACTAATGTTGATCAATAATTGAGCTTTTCAAATCACATCTATATCTTTCTAGATCTAGATATATGTTAGATCCAGATCTCTATGCGAAAACAGTACTGATAGCTCTACTCTCTAATTTGTCGTGTTTACTGTTTACTTCCGTTCCGACAAACGCTGTGTTATAATACTAGTAGTGACAGTGATCTAGAGATCTATATTCTAGATCTAGATATAGAAATAGATCTAGACTCTAGCCTAGCAATTAAATTGGCTTATAAATTGTAGATTTAGACATATTGATATCTACCTTTTAAATAAGGTCGAGAGCGCTATGGGTTGTGACGGAGGTACCATACCAAGGAGAGATGAACTGGTGAGAACCAAAAAGAAACCAGAACAGGTGAGTCGAGTCTTCTATTCTTATTCTAGACTAGACCTAGATCTATATCTATATATCTAGATCTAGATATAGATTCTAGATCTATATATTCTATATCTATTGTAGATCTAACTACTAGAGAACTAGAGTCTGTAGAGATCTAGATATATAGATCTAGATCTAACTCTCCTAATCCCTAAAATGAAATGAAAGTGGCTATTCTCATCCGGGGTGAGAATAGAAATACGATCGACCTCTCACCCTGGGTGAGACTTGCGGCCGTAGGCTATTCTCACCCGGTTTGAAACAAGACCTGTTTTTCCTCATTTTGGAATACTTTCTTTCGATGTGGATGATCAAATTGATAAAGGCCACCTCTAGTCTCACCCGGAGTGAGAATAGTGCTGGCGAGTCTTGTGGATATTCTCACCCGGTGTGCGTTCACCAAATTTTGCGTTCACCCTAAACCACAGAATTCTACACTGTGATAACAGAAAAATTGTAGAATTCTGTGCCGTGAACTAACATTCCATTACAACTGTAGCCTACTAAAAGCTTACAATTTTGTCTGTGGGCAGTGGAGAGAGAGAGAGGAGTAGCGCGAGAATTTCCGGGCAAAACAAAATGGCGACCCGCGTAGTTCGGCTCGATTCGAAAAGTTAAATAGCCGTAGCATCTTTGTAGACAACCAAATTTATTTACTTTTGTGTTTTAACATCATTTTAAAACTTTTTTTTGGTCAATTTGATCGTCCACACCGATAGACAGTATTCAGAAAGAGACAGAGAGAGAGAGAAGAGGGGAGGAGTTGATCTTGCGAGAACTTCCGGGCGGGTGAGAATAGCCACTTTCTTGATAAAAGCCAAGAAAAAATTACGTTATAGCACAAAAGTAAGCTAATTTGATCGTCTTCAAAGATGCTATGGCTATTTCACTGTTCGAATCGAGCCGAACTACGCGGGTCGCCATTTTGTTTTGCCCGGAAGTTCTACTCCTCCCCTCTCTCTCTCTGTCTCTTTCTGAATACTGTCTATCGGTGTTGACGATCAAATTGACCAAAACAAAGTTTAAAAATGATGTTAAAACACAATAGTAAATTAATTTGGTTGTCTACAAAGATGCTACGGCTATTTAATTTTTCGAATCGAGCCGAACTACGCGGGTCGCCATTTTATTTTGACCGGAAGTACACGCGCTACTCCTCTCTCTGTTTCTTTCTCTCTCTCTCTCCACTGCCCACATACAAAATTGTACGCTTTTAGTAGGCTACAGTTGTAATGGAACGTTTGTTCACGGCACAGAATTCTACAATTTTTCTGTTATCACAGTGTAGAATTCTGTGGTTTAGGGTGAACGCAAAATTTGTTGGCCTAGATCTAGGCTATAACGGTGAACGCGCACCGGGTGAGAATAGCCAAAAGACAAGCCTGCACTATTCTCATCCCGGGTGAGAATAGAGGTGGCCAAATGAAATACCCATTGATATGTGTGGATGGGATTGGGTCTGGAGTCTGGTCTGGTTGGGGGCTATCGCCCCACTCTTCGCCTGAAATTGAAAACACACGTGTTTGTTTTTGAGTCGGAAGTGGCTATCCTCACCCGGGGTGAGAATAAAAATACGATCAACCTCTCACTATCACCCCAGGTGAGACTACATGCGATTAAACGTAGAAAGACGCAAACTATTTTTAGGTACGACGCACATCTTGTTTGACGTCAGACCAGGATTCCCCTCCGATCACGTGACTACATCTAGTCTAAATCTAAGTATAGCCAACCGCATGGCACCAAAGATGGAAGTGTACGAAATTTGCCATAAAACGCTAGACGATTAGATCTAACCCCCCCCCACCCTCCTCCATTCTTCATCACTAAAATATAGATTTCTACATTAAAAAACAAACTTAAAGCAGCTCTACAAATTATAATTTATGAGACTCCATCCACATGCTCAAAAATTGATGAGCGCCTGATTCCATTGTGCCATGTAACACAATTGTATAAATTGGAGACAAACTGGTTGTAGGGCATGTTATAATGATGGCCACCTCTATTCTCACCCGGGGGTGAGAATAGTGCAGGCGAGTCTTTTGGCTATTCTCACCCGGTGCGCGTTCACCGTTATAGCCTAGATCTAGGCCAACAATTTTTGCGTTCACCCTGAACCACAGAATTCTACACTGTGATAACAGAAAAATTGTAGAATTCTGTGCCGTGAACAAACGTTCCATTACAACTGTAGCCTACTAAAAACATACAATTTTGTCTGTGGGCAGTGGAGAGAGAGAGAGAGGAGTAGCGCGAGAACTTCCGGGCAAAACAAAATGGCGACCCGCGTAGTTCGGCTCGATTCGAAAAGTTAAATAGCCGTAGCATCTTTGTAGACATCCAAATTAATTTACTTTTGTATTTTAACATAATTTTTAAACTTTGTTTGGTCAATTTGATCGTCCACACCGATAGACTCCGAAAGAGACAGAGAGAGAGAGAAGAGGGGAGGAGTAGATCTTGCGAAAACTTCCGGGCGGGTGAGAATAGCCACTTCCTATATATAATGATTAATTTACAGGTTCGTTCGTACTCTATACCAAATATAACAAGGAAGAGGCTAGCCGTACTTAATTACGACTAGACTGGCAGTCTAGCCGAACTTATAATTCTAAATATGATGGCTAGACTGACCATTAAAAAAAAAGTAGGCCTACTGAATTGTGAAAATATAAATTTTTAGTGTGCAGTACCTAAAGTATTGTATTTGAGACGAAACCAGGTGCCTTTTAAATGACAGTGCATGTATTTTAAACCTCCTGATTTTTAATGTTAATAGGGCCTAAGATAAGTATGGCTAGACTGGCAGTCTAGCCGTACTTAAGTACGGGTAGACAGCTAGGCTAGCCGTACTTAAGGACGGCTAGACTGTCAGGCTAGCCGTACTTAATATTGATGGCTGAATTGTAAATGAAATTTTTAGTTTACAATGCCTAAAGTATAAAATTTGTATTTCAGACAAAACCAAAAGGTGCCTTACTGACTTGCATGTATTTGAACCTGAATAATTACTAGATCTAGATCTAATGAGACCTGTGTACTTACAGGCTTGAGTCGATAGGGGCAAACCTAGATCTAAGTACGGCTAGACTGGCAGTCTAGCCATACTTAAGTACGACTAGATTCTCAGTCTAGCGGTACTTAAGTACGGCTAGCCACTTTGTTTTATAAAAAACCATTCCAGTGTTGTCTTTGCGAAATTGAAATGTATTGTACAGTGGGTTTGCATTCAACGAGGTCACATTCAACGAGAAGTCGGCTCCAATGAGGCAATCCTTAATCCCGGAATTTTTCCTCTATATCTCTTTGTAAATGTATATCAGCTCCAAGGAGGTTGCAAACAGACTGAAGTCGCTTTCAACGAGGTCGCGATAACCAAATAAAAGCAACTAACAGCCCCAAAAGCGAAGAATTTTTCACCTTTCTCTCCATCTCACGCGAAGCACAAGGCCCATCCTCCATTCCTAACACATTGTATTGCTAGATCCTAGTGTGCCTCCTAATAATATGGGCCCCAAAGCCAAGAGGATGGGCGAGGGTCAGCCTACGGTAGGGATAGAGCCTGAGGGGATGGGTGAGAGTGCGATGTGGCTGTGTGAAACTGGATGAACTCTGGATGGGTAGGTCTTGATCTAGATTGAGACCCTCATTGTTTTTCAATTTTCTTTTCTTCTCCTGATCAGAAAATACAAGCTCCCGCCTTTTCTTTATGTAGATCTAGGCCTAGATGTGAGAGGGTATGTTTCCACATGAGAAGTGTTCAGAAAAAAATAAATTTAATGCAGAAATGATGGTCAGAACACAGCTCAAACATGCGCGCATTGATGCTGTTTGAGATTTTTGTCATCAGGGGGAACAACGGTTTTAATTAGTGGTATTGGTACATCGTGTAATATAATAACTTCCTTTCTTTTCTTTAGCCTTAGTCATGTTCAACGAGAGGTCGGATCCAACGAGGACAACAAGCCAGTCCCGGCGACCTTGTTGGATGCGACACCCACTGTTTAATGTTTCTGAAAAGAATTTTCTTTAAAAGATTTTTAATTTTCAAACATTGTGGGTTTTTTTCTTTTCGTATGTGTTTTTTTAATTAAAAAAGAAAAGTAGCTAAATAAATATTCATGTAAGTATCATCATTCTTACAGGTCAGCAGTTAATAGAATTTATTCTCTTACTCTTACCTAATTTTAAAGCCTTAATTCTAGGAATAAAATATAAAACACAATATATAGCTTTATAAAAAAGATATTCAGTGCCCTAGACTGGACTCTTCTGTGAACTCACTTTTGTTGTTAAATTATTTTATTTTATTTTATTTTTTTCTGAGCAGAAAGACAAGGATTCTGTACTTGCTTTCAAGTGGAAGCACTGTGCCATAAGCCAAGAGGCCCTGGTCAAGCCCGTAGTTGCTTGTGAACTGGGCAGGTAAGCAGTGGTCCTTAATAGTTGAGATTGTTGTCAGCTGTTTATGTTGCCTGATTATCTTTTTTTTTCCTTCTCTTTGTGACTGCCTATAATTTTTTTTTTTAACATTGTTGTTTTAGACTTGGAAAAATTGTTCTGTTGAAGTAAAAATGCTGTTTGTTGAATCAACCTTTTCCTGTTCTCTGTTTTCCTAGTTAGGCTAGGAAAGTGACTGCCTCGACTAGAAAATATGATAATAATAGTTCCTTCGACTAAAGTTAACATGAACTCTGTTCGGAAGGACAGAAAGGTTGAAAATGTGTCGTACCAGAAGGCCTGTATTTTCCCAGAAACACACTGCTTAGTCAATTTTGATATAAATATCTTTGTGTTCAGTGAAGAGATTGTAGATTTTGTAACGTTTTGTAGTTTTATGCATCATTGTCAGAATTGATAGTTGTGAATTAATTACTTATTTTGTGGAAGGGATGAGCAGACATGATGTTAAAACATAGACATGATTTCATTCTTTAAAGGTCTGCAAAACGTGCTAACTAAAAAATTGGGGGAGTGTATCTTGGGAATTCTAATCTTTTTTGACATTTTGGCACAATGCTCTATGTATACTGCAGAGATGATTAACCGTATCCGTACGTCATCTTTTACTATCGTATCCATACGATGTGGGGAAAGTATGTGCCACCACTTTCCAAAGAGGAAATTTACTCGTTAATCCGATCCGTACGCTTTGCATAGCAGTCTGTCAAAAATATTTTTTGAGAAATACTGAAAGTTTCAAAGAGATCTTCGCTCTAGAAGTATTCTAAAATGTGAAGAATACAACCCCTGGGTTCAAAATGACCCCAGGTGCTTGGATAGGCGGATGTAGTTAATGGTTCTTTTTCAAATTTCTTCCAAATTGTCAAAACTTTAAAAATCAAAGGGAAAAGGGTAAGACCAGGCCTATTTAGTTATGTTTTTCTATTGTATTCTATACTTCATTCTTTCCCAATATATTGGATTTCCAGGTTGTACAACAAAGAGACTGTTCTTGAATTTCTCTTGGACAAGAGCAAATTTGAGGTTGCTGCACAGTTTGACCACATTAGGGGATTGAAGGTAAGAGAAAAAAGCAGGAGAATGAAAACACCCTCTACACTCTCTGATTTATTTGATTTTTTTTTGTGTGTTGAAAATGCTTTTTATGCTGTGTATAAAGATTTTTTTTTCTGTTATATAATTTCTTAGATTTTGTGCTTTCAAAGAACAAATAGATAACAAGTTTCCTGTTTACAATTTCAGGCAAAAGTCATCAAACTGAATTTGTCTAGTTTATTGCTGGTCACTAATCTAATCTTAGTCTTTGTTACGGTAGATCCAAAAAATATTGAATATTGTGAACTGAAATGCTTGGTTTTCATTGAAAAAGTGGTTGCAAGTTCTTATTGTAATTTATATCTTTATTGTTCAATATGAGATTGTCAGGTGTTGATGTTTGTAAAGATCGCTGAATGCTGGCTGCCTTTCTATCAAGCGGAATATGCTGTGCAATAATGGGTGTTGTTCCATTCTGTGTTGTATGTACATGTGGAAATTTTACCCTTAAAATGTTGTTTTTTTTAAATATCATTCTTTGTCTGTTATGAACTAGGACAATGTGCTGTACATTCTGAAAACTATTTTTATTTCATTGCTTCAGGATATTAAAGAGCTGAACCTGACTGACAACCCAGAGAGACGTCCTAATGGTGCTGAAAAGGGTGATGCCTTCATTGACACAAGCAAGTCTGATTTCATATGTCCAGTGGTTGGTTTGGAGATGAGTGGGAAATACAGGTGAGTGCATGCCAGAATGAGATGAGGGTCTGAGAGGTTTAGGTGGGCATTTAGGATGAGGACTCACATTTCTTCTTACTTTTCATCTTTCACTTTCACTGGCGACCTGTCATTTGAGCTTGTGCCGTTCAATTCTGTGCTACAACGAAAGGTGCACTGGTTTTTATATTGGTCTGCATCAGAACACAGGGTGCTGCTTTTAATTTTAAAACTTTTGTGTCAATAATGGTAAATATAGCATCATTTTGGAACTTTGATTTTTATGGTCAGTTTATGCAACATTGTATTTTCTATTCATTGTATGCTGGGGATGTCACTTAGTAAATTAAATGATGTAATGAAATCAATGATATTTTTATGGAGCCAGTGGACTGCATTATTTTTCTGTAATTTGCTACAATTGCACAACACGACTTGATTTTTATTATTCATGGGTGAACTGACAGTTGTTCTTCTGCTGTTTTTCTTGTCCCCAGATTTAGTTTCATCTGGACGTGTGGCTGTGTCATGTCAGAGCGAGCGCTGCGAGAGGTCAAATCGGAGGTGTGTCATAAGGTGAGGACTGTTATACTGGATTTCGGCCTTCAACTCTTTGGCTCAGGGGTCTTGATGTTTTGCTGTTAATGCGTTGCTTAGCCAGAATGCGCTTTTGTTTGTCAAATGTTTGGAGATGCTCTGGTGTGGTTTGCTCCTTCTTTCCTATCGAAGATTTATCATTCTTATCTCACATCATACTTTTTTTTTTGGTTGCTCTCTAGTATCACACCTAATCTTTGCTATTATATGACCTATTTGTGTTGCAAGTGCTGTAAAACTGTTACTAAAACTAAACTTTAAGAAGTGCTGCTCCTTAGTGCAGATGGTGATTGATTGTCACTGTGGTCATATTCTTCTACTTCTTTTTTTATATTTCTACATCATGTTCTTGATGGGTGGTTGGAGAATGCTGCTGGTAGGTTTTCTCGTCTCTCTCTTTTATTGTTTCCTTTTATCTGTTTCGTTTTTTTTCTGCATACAGTTACCATTATTCTGTCGATGTGCTTCTCTTTAGTCAAACTTATGCACTTGTTATGAATGCCAACTTGAACTTTGCGGTGCAAATCTATTCTTCCTGAGGTTATGTTGCAGTAGACTGATGTGTAAACATTTCAAGCCAGGCTAGTTTGTACTGAAAGGAGTACCCTTCGAGATGGTGCTTCTGATTGAAGTGTCTTTAGGCCATTCCCAAAGGGGCGACATAGACATGTTCTTATGCACAGTAGAATTGTAAATGGGCTGATTCATCAATGTCATGCTCATAGCTGTGCCTGAACTGCAACAGGGAACTTCTGCTTTTTCTTTCCTAATTATTACTATCATTTTCCTGTACTTCTTTTGTATGTTTGTCACGCTCTTTGACCCTCTATTTCTGGGGTGCCTTGATAGTCGAAGTAGACTTTGTGCTGTTGAAGCTAGAGAGGTAAGCTGAGCAAGCCTGATTCTCTGTAAAGACTTCTGTGTTGACATCCACCCCTTGGTGCTCATATGACCTTATGAAGTTGCGAGCGCCGTAAAACTTTACTAAAACTAAAACAACTGAAAAGAGTATACTACAAAATGTGTGTTTCTCAGTTTCTTTTTTATTTATTGTTTAGGTCCATTTTTCAGAGAGTGAAATGGACAAGGTGTTCTTTGATAGTTGAAATGGACAGTCCTTTTAATTTTGAAGCTGGGGTACTTTTCATCCTCTGAAAAGTAGTAATGAGTTTGAGTTTTTATTATGTTGTTGATTTATCTGGTCTCTGAATTGATAACAAAAATTGTAAAAGGAGACCAAAATAATTATACCCAAAAGCAAACACTTGTCAAGCTGGACATATTTAAGTGTTGTCTGATTTCTTTTTAAATTGCTGGGTTTTTCTTGTTATCAGTGTGGGAAAAGTTACAAGGAAGAGGATGTGATCCTTCTGAATGGATCTGAAGAGGAAGTGACTGACCTCCGTTCAAAGATGGAAGAACGCAGAGCTTTAGCTAAAGCAGCAAAGGTGAGGGAACTTTATGCCAATTGTTAAACCGCTGGTGTTCGGTTATTTGCTTTTACTTGTTTGAACATAAGAAAATTAATTACACTAATTGATGTTGTCATGATCTTGAGTGTTGGCATCGTAAGTTTTGAGATTAACTGCCTGCTGAGTATGTTTGTGTGCATGTTTCTCCCCCCCCCCCCCCCCCCCCAAATTTAGGGACAATATGAATTTTTTTGTGTTGGTTTCATTGACAACTTGTGTTGAGTGGTTGGAGAATGCCACTGTTATATTTTTTTTCTTTTATCCCTCTGTAATTTGTCTATCTCTCTTGCTTTTTCTTGTCACCAAATGATCATTATTGTCTTAGTAGGTTTCTTTTTATTCAAATTCAAAGCACAATGGTAACAGTAGAAATGAATGTGGACACAAGTATTTCATAGACCTTTTCCAGTACATGTTCTGTTATGTTAGGGTGCTTTATTATTTTTGTTTTAATTTTGGTGTTTGTGTTAGGGATGGTCATATTTGCATACCCCATACACTCTTACATGATAGCTATTTTAGAGGAATAACTTTTTTTCCCAGACCTTGGAGGAAAAGAACACTCATGGTTGTTTTTATTTCTTCTCCAGAAATCCAAGAAATCTGGAAAACACAAGCTGGCCAACAGTGAAGCCAGTGGTGGGTATTTTCTTGGGTCTTTATTGTAATGCATACTTTGTCTAGATGTTTAACTGTATAAGCCTAATAAGCAAAATTTTTCCAGAAGGTGAAAAAACTTTCATTCTTTTAACAGTTGTACCTGTATTATGTAGCTTTTCTTGCTTTGATTATAAACATACAGTGGAGTCCACTTATAACGAGTACTGAAATAACGAGAAGTCTGTTATAAAAACACTATTCTAAAACCCTGTTTTTTCCCGTCTGTATTTTTGTAAATAAATACTGCTATAGCACAATCGGATCAACAAGCGGGTCGGTTATTGCGGAATACTGCTGCTGCTGTGCACAGCGCACAGGCCAGTTATAAATATATAAAACCTCCCCAGTTGAGAAGTTGGTGATCTAGCAACACCAAGGACATTACAACTCCTTGAGCGAAACAAAGAATGGGAGAGCCCACGTGTGCCAACAATGAAGGCCGCAGTGAATGATTGGGGAGGGTGTGGTATGCGCAGATAAGGGGAACGCCAGCCTAGTCTAGATTATCAGATCTACCATGCCTCTCACTTCTCTGATGCGGGGATGGAGAGGTCTCAATGCTGTGATGGATGGAGCGAATGTGTGACGTGTGCAAGCAGACGCAACGCACCACAGGGTGTGGTGACATGTAAGGCAACACAGAGGGCGAGTTAGCCTAGAGCCCTTTTTTTCTGATCGCCAACGCCAAGCTGTCAACATAACTAGGGCTAGAGAAAGAAACCTGATTCGATTTTTGATCAAGTAAGACCTAGAGGTCATGTTGAACAAAATTATCATCAGGGGAGATTACAAAAAAGAAATAGACCAACAAAACTCTTAGATTAGGCCTACTTTATTAATTCCCTTGAATTTATTACTGGATCCCTTATAACGAGAATCCTGGTATAACGCACATTTCGCACCGGTCCGCTCCCTCTCATTATAACAGGATTCCACTGTATAGAGTTTGAATTTCGACAATACTTCTCATGCACATTCAACTGATACCACTGAATAAAAATACAATTTTTATTTTATTTTTATGTTTTAAACTTGATACATCTGATCAGCTGGCCAACTATATTTGATTATGTGATTTATATCCCTGTGAGTTAAGTGGATGATTTTTGGGTGTTCTACTGTGGTTTTCATGTTCTGCCATGGTATGAAGAAAGGGAAGTTGAGAAAAATATCATTTAAATATAAACCATTGTGAACGCATGAGTGAAACCTTTTCTGTATCATTTTTGCATGTGTAACTTTCTTTTCTGTCTGAGAAAAATGATTTTTTTTCTGCCTCTGTTCCTCCTTATTTATTGTGTGGAGTTGCATTGTCTATCCCCTGTGGCAAAGCAAATAATATTAAAAACACGTTGCATATTTATATAGTAGGTGTATATGTGAGTGCTGCAGAAATCTCATACTTCTTTGCTTTTTTGTAGGCTGCTGGCAGAAATCCTGCTGTGTCCTGGCCCCACTTAATTGTCATTTTACTAATATGCTTTTTTATGTTTAGATATTACATACAAGTAAAAAGATGGCATCAACTAGTTTTTAAAAGCGTGCATCATTTCTTTTCTGTCTGGTCTTAATTTAATCAGCTCATCTGCAAACTTATTTGAAAAAACTTGCGATCAATTATTTTTCAGAGGCGAGCACTTCAGGTTTGGGCAAGAAACCACGCTCAGATGCACAGTCGTCCTCTTCTTCTTCCCCCCACTCAGAGTCACCTTCTCCTCCCACTGATGCGTCTTCAAATGGCACAGCAGACAGGAAATCTAAAAGTTCTGTGGGGCCGTCGAAACACTCCATTGGAAAAGGTGCTTCCAGTAAACTTCTCACTAACGGCAAATCAGCAGAAGAGAGGAAATCTGGCAAGAGCAAGACTGGAGGGACCATACAGACTGACCCAAGGGCCACAAAAACTTTCAAGTCTTTGTTCACGACTTGTGAGGCAGAGAAATTACAGCAGAAACCTCACTGGATCACCTACAACCCCATGTATTACTGAATGTTAGAGAGACGCACACTGGTCTGGGTTACAACGTAGTGCCATGGTTTTCTTGGCTACTTTCAGGGCAATGTACTGTGACATGAACAGCCCTTAACAATTGTTTCCAGTGGGGATGCATGTTTTCTTGTTGTTTGATCAGTAACTCCCTACAAAGGAATAACTTGTGGAAAAAGGGTTAACTTTTGCAGCGCAGCTAAATAAAGTCTTAAACTATTCCTTATACTTAAAGTCGTGTGCTGTACTCTGTGCTTCTCAAGTAAGATTAAGATTATTGTAAGATTTGTTTTAAGTCTTTATTCTTGCAAAAGGAACAGTTCATTTATTCCTTTTTCCCTCCTGCTTCATCAGGTGTCTCATGATCTTCAAATTTTCTTTCCTAGCTTGTGGTTAGAAAATGGGCCTCTTTCTTTACCAAAGAAAACTCAATAAATCTGTTTTTGATTGAGCAGCTTTGTATGTATCTGAAAGCTGAATGCCCATACCCAAACATCTGGCACATTCAGTTTGCATATGAGATATCTAAAAATTGTTGTTTCCATGCATAAGGTGTAGCAAATATTGAAATCACCAGTGATATGTATGCTTATTATTAGTTGAAAAATAAAAATTAACTTTTCATTCTTTGAAGTGAAAGGTCACTTTCGGACTCTTTGTTCTTAGTTCATTCATTTTGGGGGATGTTGTTTCAGGTAGAATGTCGTGTTCATTTTTGCATTGTCTACCACTTACAGCAAGCCAATGTCTCTTCCTCTCCGGTGTTTTTGGTGTAGAAGTAAGGCTTTTCGCCTCCAAACGAAGAAGACATGTGTTTGATTCCTGAGGAAGGAAGTTTTTTAATTGAATATTGCCGTCTGCCTGCTAGGATGCATTATCCTCCTCTTCCGCCATTGGTCCCAACAGGCAGGGTCAAATCAGCCTTCCTCCTAATTAGTTTAATAGTTTCGATTGGGGTGTAAAACGGTAACAATCACAATTGCAATTTTGACACTTCATCTCTGTCTGTGGGTGGTTGGCGGGTGCTCTGGTGTGGTTTGCTTCTTCTTTCCTATAAAACATCTATTGTCCTTATCTCTCCTCCTTTTTTGTGTTTGTTACTCTCTTGTAACACTTCTAGTCTTCGGCACTAATATGACCTTATTTTGTTGCAAGTGCCGTAAAACTTTTACTAAAACATCTCTGTCTGCATTGATGGTTCGACCGAGTGCCAGTGTGTATGGCTGTGTTCATGTATGTGTGTATGAGGGGCTGAGATGAAATACCCGCTACATGGTTTCCGCACTTTTGAGAAACTCAGCTGTTTTTGATGCTACTATACGCAGGAGCATGCATAAGATTTTTTGGTGGCTTTTCTGAAGTATGTGTTAGGTTTTGGCTGAAAACACTTTGTGCATCTGATAGCCTGTAACTATGTGCATTTGTAAGAAAATAATCTCGATTCTTTTTCAAAATGTCCCTCAGCGGGGTTTGCATCTCAGCCCCTCGTCTTGTTTATTACCTTTCCAGTATGATCAGTACAGTAGTCTACGCCTAAACGCAAGGTGGCTCCTGAGCATGCATTTACATGACTTTAAGAAAGTGGGAAGGGATACAACCATGTCATTTCTTTGAGGTTGTAGTGATGATTACTTCCCTTGGATTTGTAACCGAACTTGTAATGGAGTTCATCTTTCAGTTCTTCTAGTGAATGCAAGCGCTGCTCTTGTGAGTTTGGTTAAGTTTTGTCTGGGTTTTTTTTTTGAGGGGAGGGGTATGAAGGAAGTCCTGTTGTATTTATTTCTCTTTTGTGCAGTGTAATATGTTGCACTGACATCATACACCATGGATATCTTTTGCTCATGAAAATGTTACTTTTTCATTACTAAACAAGGCTAAAGAGTGGTGCAACATAGTCCTCAGAAATATAATACAAACATTATTTATTTATCGTCCAGAGAAGTGCGTTATAACTTCAAACTTGTATCTTATAAGACATGAAGTATTGCAAACAAAGACAAGGATATGATCAGACACACCCTGTGACATGAAGGAAAATAAATGCACTGTAGTACATTACAAGCCATGGTCAGAGACAGACTGGAGATGGGAAAGGGGGTATGCTTATTTATTTCTTTGGAAAAAAAACTGAGTAATATAAATCAGATCAGGATTTTAACCCTGGAAAAAAAGTACGAAAAGCATCAACTAGTTTTTTTTTTCTTACCTTGTCATGTCTTATTGCAATAGTTTTATACATTTTCAATGTTCTGAAATAAAGGTTAAAAAGAGTTTTAGTCTTAGTCATACTGCCGGTGTGTTTGCTTATACAAAGATGATTTATACACACTGTCATCAGAAATCACCAGAACAAAAAACAACAACAAAACTAAGGAGAGCCGATAATGTCTGATAGAAGAATCCTTTATTTCATCAAATGGTAAGCGCAGAAGATACAGTGTAACAGGACATTTCCTGATGGTATGAAACATGAGTATAAAGACATTTGTTTCTAAGGGGCCCTATACATGTACGTTCCAACCGGGCGGTTTTAACCTGAGTGGGAACCGGCGCTTGAATTGCCACGCAAAACCATCATTCGACCGGTCGACGCGCCGTCCACGTCACACGTGGTTTAACTGCAGCGAGTGTACTGACATTGACGATTTGCTTGCAATTTAAGTGCTGCTCATGGGGAAGACTTTTGTTTTCTCTTTAATTATTGAAAAAACAAATTCTGCTTGGATCGTTCGTTTAAAAAATGTAATCAGATTTTATGTGCGGTAAATCATTTTGAAGGTATTAACAGTGACAAGATAAGCCGGCTAAGCCCGTGACGTCACACAAAGGCTGTCATCGACGGAACGCGTTGAACTGTATTCAGAAAATCTGCACACTGAAACCCCCGGTTCCATCTCCCGGTTTTACTTTTTTTGTAGTTTTTCGTCCACATATGCAGCTCTGCCACCAGTTTTGCCTTTCCATTCCGAACCGGCAGTTTGGAACGTACATGTGTAGGGAGCCTAAACATGGACATGTCCTGTTGAAATTGGTATACATGACGACTGTTGTTTAACGTTGCAACTCAACAAGACGGGGATTTCTTATTTTACTGAAATCGTCATGTACAAATTGTATTTTTTTTTCTTAGACTGAAATTGCTAGTTGAATAAAGTTTGAGAGTTCAATGTCTTTTGCCTTCAATTTGCTTTGATTTTGTTCTTCATGTATCTCTTTATATATTTAAATTGTTTAAATATGCCAGATTTACATGTACATATATTTTTGGATGTGTACTTATAAATCTGACATCCCTGAAGCTTAGCTAGATCATGTGTGAAGATCTCTTCAGTGGTGGACATGCTATGAGTTTATGTTCTGTTCAGCAGAACAGAAGACTTCAACAGGTACACATGTGTAATATCATTCAAATTGTGACTGCTTCGCTCATGCCCATTTTTAGAGATGTCAAGGCAAATTAATTTTGCCTTTCTCATTATACAATATTATTTATAGAGATCAGCTGGTTCTCACCAGAACAGAATGGTCAGAATGTAGTATAGATGTACACAGGACTGTCTGCAGTAAGAGATTTGAATCAGCAAAGTCATTCTATAGGGATTTCAGTAATAGTGAAAGAGAACCTATGTTTTAATGTGAAAAGAGGGCTTACCATGTGTGTTCCGACTGCGTGATATGCTACTTAGGGCATACACGACTTATCATCTTGATAGAACACATAATAATTTGGGATTCCTAATTTTCGGTAGCTTCATGGTTATAGAAAAAAAAGTGAAACACAAAGTGATTGGAAATCCAGCAGGTTCACTGCAAGACATTTTAGTTATATTGTTTCAAAGATACTGAATGTAGCACAGGATATATTATTATCTCATCTCACAACTTTAATAAAAAGAAAACATTTATTGCATAGTGTAAATGACAGTGAACAGCAACCTCAAGATTATCGACAAAGCATTTTGCTGAGGAGGAAAATTGCTACACTTTTCAAAAGCATTTTATGACTGATGTAGATATTTATACAAGAGGAAGTATACAAATAGCAGACTGCCATTGCTAAATAAACATCCACAGCAGTGTGAATCTTGGCAAAAGGTGCCAATAAGAAGTAAACTGGACAGCCATCATTTACTGGCTGGAAAACTGCACAAATAATATTTAATAGGATACCGGGATCTTTGGTAGCGCTGAGTTTCCAGAGCACGCCAAGGGCAGGTTCATATATATATTATATATATATAGCAAACAGCATGATAATGAGAAACAGGAAACATTGAAACAATTTAAAGCAACTGTGTGTCATGAATGGTGACATTATTTACGAACAGAATGTCTTCACATCTGGATGCCATTTATGTTCTGGTTCTCAAAATGCCCACATTGTTCAAAACTCGCCCACTATGGTCCTGACACATTTGTTCTCTCGTATACATTGACTTTAGAAAAGGATGTTATTTTTCATGGCGTTAGTGGAAAAAGGGAGGATAGGATGATGTGAATCTCTTGTGTCGGACAGAAAACAAAATCTTTGTGGGGTGTGGTGACTTGGATATTTCCTCTAGCCATTGTTTTGTTTTCTATTTATTGTTGTTGACTGTAATTGGATATTCAGCGCTGTCAAAAAACAACTTGCTGAAACATAAGTAAGTGTAGTCATTAGTACCTCCAGTTGCTCAGAACAGATTGCAGTTTCATCATTTTGTTGTCAGCAGAGTAAAATTTTAATGATGTGCTCGGAGAACATTTAAACTTGTTCGTACAAATGACCACCATAGAATGTAAGATTACAGGGACTTTGTTTCTGTTTTCGTTAGAAATTTCTGTTAGGCATTTTTTTGTTTTCATAGATTATTTAAGTCACTTCATTGAAGGGATAATGTATATGATGTATTGTTAAAAACCTAAGATAGTCTCAGCTATGCATGCAGGCACTAACATATATACAAGAGCATATGGATTAGCCCAACACCTATAGAGAACAACTTCCTCATCTACGCACATTTCCACACACTTATACACGCTGGTTCAGTAATGCTCACATTAATAGTCTTGTTCACAATCTCATTCGCTCTGTTGTACAATAATTTGCTTTATTTGATATAACATGGAATAATTTTCTCAGCAGGTGTATATGATCTAACTAGTAATGTTGTCAGTGGTACACAAAAGATGAAAGCAAAGACTTACTGTGAGTTACAAAACAAGCAATCTCATCTGAAACATTTGTATATGTACAAAAATAATATTTTTATATCCACAAACAAACACTCACGAACTTGTTAACACAGAAAAACAACCCAGCAGAAGACAGCACCAATGTCAAACAAGGTCAGCCATTTTTTGCTGTGAGATCTGACTGTACTCAATAAAAGCAGGGGGAAAAAGATACTGACTGACTGTATTATCATAATGCTTAGTTTAGAAAAGAGGGTAGAATTATTTTGTTAAACTGGCTGTATCTCTCTACGCTTTTTCCTGTAAATATTGCTAATATAGAAAAAGTATAGGGTATTGGCTGTATTATCCATTTTTAAGTAAAAGAATCCAGGAGTAGGACGGGCAGAATTTTCTTGCGCATAACACTAACACTTGTTGACTCAATTGTGAATTATATTATAATCTGAATTTGTATCTATCAGCGTTCAGTAGAAAGGTGAATGCGCACAAAGACTTTTCTAGGCCCGTGCCTTATTCTATGTAGCAATCACTTTGTTAGCTGATTCATCTTTTATGGTACCGGTACTGGTGTTGGCTGGTATCCAGAATATGTATTGCACCTGTTAACTTAAAAATGATGGACGATTGATAAAAATACTCAGATTAATATCTTTGACGTGGCATTGCAGGTTTTCTCTAAAACAACGCAGTTTTTCTTGTGGCTACAACTTTTGTTTTGGCAGCCTTGCCTCTATTTTGCGTGTGCAATTTCCATAAAATGGAAAATGACTGTTGTCAAGGAAAATTAAAATACAAGATTGTATACTACATAGTCAATGCCATTGATATAAATTATCTGAAACAACACTGGCCAGCTTTTTAATGCATAATGAGCATTATATTTCACATAATAATAGTTATAATAATAATAATGATTAATTTGATCTTAGAGCTGGTATGTAAAGTGTCAGTACTGCTGAAATATCTCGGGGAAAATAAGTGTCTAAATAATACAGGCGCATCAGTAGACATAGCCCTATTCTGAAAATCTGATACTGTTCAGGCTGCATTTAATTAGTACAAATGTGAGGGGGGAAATTCAATTCAGGCAAGAAAGTTGCCTGCGGCTGATTCCAGAATGCATTCAGATGTTGTGGTTAGTTAGTCAGACGGGCCGTCAGGACAGTCTAAAACAGTAAACAACAACAAGAGATTGTAAATAGCAACAGTATACATAAATTATACCGCGTGTAAACAACAGGACACGAGGAGTGCTTATGATGAGATTCAAGGCCGTCTTCTATCAAGCTACGTACGGGAACAAAACTTGAATTGCGTACAGATTATATCATAATCTGTCACCCTTTTGAGTATGAGGTTTCAATTCTTGTGGTTCTGTCAGATCAAGCCAAGAGATTCATTTGATTTATTAGAAATTAAACTTTAATACAGTTAAACTTTTAATAATAATAATAATGATAATAGTAATAACAACAATATTAATAATAATGATGATAGTAGTAATAGCAATGATAATAACAGTAGTAATAGTAATAGTAATAATAATCTAAAAAACTATAAAACTATAACGATAATAATAAAAAGTCGGCTTTTTTGCCCCCCCCCCCCCTTTAAACTTCAATTAAGATTTTACCCCTATGGCTTTAGAAGCACAAATTCCTAGTCATTTGATCTTGATTCTTTTTTCCTTCATATTCCATTTTTAGCTTGATAGAATCTCAATGCATTCATCAGTCGGGCTTCTAGTGTTAAGCACGACTTCATCAATAACTGAACGTTGTTCAATTAATTTTTTTTCTTCTAAAATCTAGATGATACAGTGCATTTGTCATTTGTATAGCATTTTCTTTTCCACGAATAAAAGATCTTCCATGGTACACGCTTGGACAAAATCTAGTTCTCAAATTAAGCCCTAATGAATCCATGTGATATGAGATAAACATTACAAAATCATTCCTAAACAGCACCGTTCAAACGTTCGTATTTGCGTATATCACTGAATAAAGTATGAGGATATAATATTAAGGGCACTTCTTTTTATAGGGCGAGTAAAGAAATCATTTCCTTTCTTGTGGTTTTTTTGGCATGTGTCACAACGTGGTGGAATCCGGTGCTCGTCACTTTTGGGGCATATAGAGTTATTAGTACATGTATCACCATGAAGCTTGTCTTATTGTTCACTTGTCTTGCTTCGAACGAAAGAAATACACATTTACCTTGAATGCAAGTCGAGATATAATATGCGATTGAAAGAGGTGGGGGTTGCCCGGATTCAGAGGTAAAATTAGCGAGAAAATGGCGCCAAAGTTTGGTTACTTACATTACATAGCCTGAGAGTCTGTTGAGACTGGCAATTTACATTTTTTGTGCCTTTAATTATCGTTTTTCAGTAATATCCACACAGAAATGGGTTCTTAAATGGACATAAAAGCTTTTGAGACAAAAACAAAAGTTTCGATAAAAATTGCCAAAACTGGCGGGAAAATGCCAGTTTCCTCAATTTCATTTGTTTTGAAGAGCGCCTGATTTCACCACACTGCCTCACATATATTATTATACAATTGGGCCACAGAGTGCTGTAGTTGATTGACCGGTATTAGGAGAATGTATTATTTGAAACGCACCGAGTTGAACGATAAAGATATTGCTGGTCGAAGGTAATAGGCACTGGTTGCGAGTTGGGTAAGTTTGATCAAGGCATACAGGGTGGGAATACTCGAATAATTTTGCATTACTTTTTAAAAATTTAAATAAATGAATAAGTGTTTAAGGGGGAGGAAAAGTTTCAAAAAAAGGGTGTAGGAGTGGGGGTGGAGCAAAGTCAGAACAGAAATTATCGTATCACTTTTTTTTTCTTCAGAGAGGGAAAAACCGAAATTGTGAAAATATAAACGTTTCTTTGGATCTCAGAAGAAAAAGAAGCAACAACACCTAGTCATGGCACAAAGGCAATGTAGTAATAGATATTCTCTTCCCACTAATTTCGAAAGTTAACATCTCCTGCTAAAGGCCTGCGACCTGATGAACTTAGGGAAAGAGCTAAAGGGTAAAGTAAGTTTCTGAAGGCGTTGTGGTCGGCCATTGTCTTGACTTGAGTTATGTGGTCGATACTGAGAACGTCAATGTTTTACACGTTCCTCCATCTTTCGAGGACTTTTCTTTTCTTTCCCAAATTCGCACCCTTAACCATACATACTTGCGATGTTAGATGCAAATTTTAAAAAGCTGTGGGCCTCTATAAAACAACAACAGAAAAAACAACAACTCCTCAGCAACAACAAAACTTATAAACGTCCGCTCACACCAACCCCATCCCCTCCCCCGAAACCATAAGCACCTTTTCATTCAACCGTCATTCGTTAAAACTACCCATCGCCTCACCTCGCCCCACCCCCATCCCCACCCACACCATAGTTCCGGTTCCTCCACTCCCCCAGCACTATTCCGCTTCCGGTGGATCTTAGTTTACGGCCCCTTGACGATGTTCCTGGTCTGCGCCATCTGGTACTGCGCCTGCATGAAGTTGTTGCAGTACTCGCAGTAGCCAGGAGGTCCTTGTGCCCCCGGGGCTCCCCGCTGTCCGTGGCGGCCTGGCAAACCTGGCAGACCCCTCTCTCCAGCCCGACCCGGTGAGCCCTCTCCGTTGGGACCTATGGGACCTGAAGGAGGGAAGGAAGGAAGGAAGGAAGGAAGGAGAGAATGGAGGATGAATTCGATTTCATTGTCACTTCGACTGGTAGATCTAGGTTAAATTATGCATAAACATGATTCAGCCATGCATAGTTTGCTGGTGCATCTCTCTCACCCAGTCTTAGTCTATATTTATAAATCCATCTGTTTCTTTTAAATTACGAAATGAATGTATCCATGTAAATAAAGTGGATGATGACGGGTGCTGTGATATGGTTTTTTTCTCTCTTGCCTATCAAACATCTACAGTAATTATCACCATCATCTCTCCTCCTTTTCCTTATATTATGCTACTCTCTTTCTTGGAACACCTCTCTAAGCTTCGGCACTTATATGATGACTTGAATGTGTTGCAAGTGCCGTAAAACTTTTGCTGAAACTAAAACTCAACATACATTTTATGAAGTATTTATAAAAATCTGAAAATAACATGCGTGAATCATTATAATAAGAGAAAATCCATAACAGGTGCGCACTGAACAATTGCACACCACCTCCACAACACACCACGAGCAAATAACCATTTCACTTCACTGGACGTCACTCTTCACGTGAACGCACAACAGCACGGGTGATAAAACACAGCAATGGCTGCGGATGCCATGCATTGGAGATGCAGAGGACAGAGGTGAAGACATCAATCGAAATAGACACTCGTGCCTTTCGCTCCGGTCGGGAAAGCATCAGAGCCTCGCACTTTCGGAAAAAAAGGAAGTATCAAAGCCGAGCACTATCAGAGCTGCGCACTTTTTAACGACATTGAAACAATTCGATTGTCAATCCCATCCAACGGTAATATTCTCCTTGACAAAAATTATTCCCTACTCTTTCCTATAAAACTAAGTGTCACGAAAACTTGTTTTTATGATTTCGCTTGAGGCACTTGACAAAAAACCCAAGAAAAAAAAAGAAAAAAAAAGAACATGACTTATTTAGATTCTACGTCTTGCATTGAAATTACTCTTGTTGTTTTTACCTATAGGATTGTTTCTATTATTGAGCCATTATTGTGCAGCAAGTGTGACAAAAATGGCAATTTTCCTCTTCATTGGATGGTATTGGTAACTGCCAATCGAATGTATCGATATCGTTAAAAGGTGCACGGCTCTGATAGTGCGCAGCTTTGATACTTTTTATTTTTCGAAAGTGCATGGCTTTGACACCTTCCCCTTCCTGTCACGTGATGGGGCGTTCACAAAATATGGACCAGCAGGAGCCAGAATGTTCTATCTCAAACATTAGCTTGGTCGACGAGAGAACATTTTGAATCACAGCCCATGAAAAGCAGATGTGGTGAGGGTATACAAAGTTGTGGAAGATCGGGTCACCTTACGACATTGACAGAGGGATACGAAACGATGATTAATGCAGGGATGGAACAAACAAATTTGAAATAGGAAAACAATTCACTAATAAACATAGCGGAAACTATCTATGACGGCCACCCATTATTGAGGGGAAAAGTGGTCTTCTTAGATCTATATAGGCGACTCTTACACAGTGTCATTATAATGGGAAAAATACGCATGGGAGGAAATGGGATGTGTACGTTTGTACAGGTGATTGTCTTATACAGGTGGCCGTTTGAACAGGTTGGACTATACTCTTCCAGGGCGACGTTGAGGAAATCGTTGACTAGATCATAGATCTACACTTGCTCTGTGTTGGCACTTTTCTCCCCCACTAGCTCAGGGTTGTGGGTGAAACAGTCGGTCGTTACTCAACTTGAACATGACAAAATCGTAGAGCGCACTTCATACTTTGTGTCATTGATTCGAAAAGAGGAATGTACCAAAAAGGGAGAGAGATTGAGGGGGAAGGGCGGGGGGAGGGAGTAAGAGCGATGAAAGAAAAAGAGAGAGGGAGAGAGGGAGACAGCGAGAGAGGAATAGAGCGAGAGATTGTAAGAGAGAGGGAGGGAGGGATCAAGGGGGGGAAAGACAGAGAGAGGGGAAAAGAGAGAGAGAGAGAGAGAGAGAGAGAGAGAGAGAGAGAGAGAGAGAGAGAGAGAGAGAGAGAGAGAGAACAAATCAGAAGTATAAGTTACAAAGTATAGGGAAAAAAGACAGTTTACAAGGGAGACGACAGAGCGATGATGAGACGCGGGTCAGCTCTTACCAGGCTGGCCTCTGGGGCCCGGGGGTCCGGTCACGCTGTCTCCGGTGTCTCCTTTCTCCCCTGGAGGTCCACGTGACCCTAGGAGGACGCCAAACAAACAAGACCTGACATGACAGCTCACGGACACACACGCATACACACACAGTGGGACTCACAAGTAAAGCATCGACATGCAAACAGCACCCCACTCCCCCTCCAACCCCCACCCCCCCCCCCGTCTTTTTCATATTATGATATACATAATAATTATTATACGATTATTGTGGTTTTCATATATAACTCAAGGCCTGAGTCATTCCATGAAAATTGAAACTGCAGTGACTTACGTAATACGTGGGGTGACCTTCTGAAATAATTCTAAATGCATTGTATCACTAAATTAATTAACAATAATTAAAAAAAACCCCAACAACACCATTTTAGGACTTTTTCAGCAAGCATTCCCGTTACGTTTATCACTGTAGTTTAATTTTCATGGAATGGTCAACTGGCTCCCTTTGTGAAGGGGTACTATAGTATTATAATTTATTGTAATAATGGATATATAATGTTAGTTCTCATTCCCCTGCTGAATGAAAGAATGAAATATTATTATTACTATTATTATCAATATTATTATTATTATTATTATTATTAGATCTACCTGTTAACCATGGCTGTTGATTTCATTTTCATTCATTTAAAAGTTTCTTCTACCAGCACCCCCCCCCCCCCAACCTTTCTACTTCCCTCCATCCCTTAATACTGTCTGTCTGTATGTCAGTCTGTCAGTCAGTCAGTCAGTCAGTCAGTCAGTCAGTCAGTCAGTCAGTCAGTCAATCAGTCAGTCAGTCAGTCAGTCAGTCAGACAGTCTGTCTGTCTGTCTGTCTGTCTGTCTGTCTGTCTGTCTGTCTGTCTGTCTGTCTGTCTGTCTGTCTGTCTGTTTGTCTGTCTGTCAAGCGTCTTCAGTACAAAGGTATCCCGACCACTCTTGGCCCATCTCAAATAATGACAATGCCAAGGCATAAGTTTGGGTCTGACTGATGGGCATGGCAGTTCATCATAATATATTCACAACAAAAATTATTTTCTTCGGCACATCCGCTTCCGCGTTTGAGTTTGGGTTTTCTTGTGGGAATACATGTAATTTTGTTATTGTGTTCGTTCTGCGTTCGAGATAGCTGGCCAGGTTTTGTGCACAAATGCACGGCGTTTCGTCATAGGTGGCTAACTGTATGCTTGAGTATGCAAGTGTGTTTGAATGAGTGTTTGTTTGCGAGTGTGTGTGTATGTGTGTGTGTGTGTGTGTGTGTGTGTGTGTGTGTGTGTGTGTGTGTGTGTGAGAGAGAGAGAGAGAGAGAGAGAGAGAGAGAGAGAGAGAGAAAGAGAGAGAGAGAGAAGCGGAGTGCAGAAGAAAGTAACATGAATGTAGTATGCATGTTGCGAAAACAAAGCTGTACTACACAAATACATAATACTAATATGGCCGTATACACATCGAAAGGATCACCAAAACATAACGATCAAATACAATACTGCTATACATGGGGAATCAATAACATGGACTCACAAAGCTTTGTGGGTGGAGTGAAATAGGTTTACAATGAAGCGAAAGAATACCAGCTTCCCAAAACTCATTGAGCAATAGTACACAAAAGTACATTTTTATAGTTAGAAACAAATTTCAATAGCTTTCCCTAATTACCCAATGCTTGTGCTGTTGTCAGCTCTGCATCCAGTAAAAAATCTTTCAAATAAAAATCTAAGCCTGTATGACTATGATGATATATAAATATCCATAATTAGCCAGGTTACCTTTGTCGTTATAATCACGACGATTACACACAAATACACCCAGAATATATTACTAATATAAAATATAACACTTAATTTTGACCTCCACCCTGATAGTGCTGAATTATTATTTAATTTTGTTTATCAAAGAATCATCTTAATATTAGCATAAATGTATTATTACGTCCTGCAATTTTTTAGACCTCCGCAAAAAAGAATTCTCTAGGAAAGGTTTAGAGAGCTTAACCAAATACAATGTAACCGCCTCCCGTAACCCCGAAAAACAAAAGACAAAATGAAAACAAATTTTTTTTGGACCAAAGCCAACGTTAATGCTCAAAAGATAAAAACATCCATACAAAACATTACCAAAATTAGATCTACTACGTTAGACTAAGCTCATTTACCAAGTTCTGCCCTTCCGCCCGACCATATGGGTTACAATTTACAAACAATACGGTTTTTGAAAGGCTGAAGTTTCAATAAATATTCATTTCCTCTCCAATTTTAATCAGTAACCATAATATCTAAAATTGGCGTCTGAAACAACAAAATAAAGATCCCGTTTTTCTTTTTAGCTGCACCTTTTATGACAATAAGAATCTATTATTACAAACATTCTTACCTTATTAGTATTAGCAGCTGATAATTAACGATGTGGAAGTAATTCAAGAATCGTTTTGGAACCTTTTCACAGTCGGAAACGAAGCTGAACGAGCACAATGGGACCAGCACAAATACCC